TTCTGAAAATGTTCCTAGTTCAATCCTTGAAAGTCCTGTTTTTCCTCTTTAAACTGAAGGGTTCCTACAAGTGGACTCTGGAAATTCATAAAAAGGATTCCGAAGCAAGGACCGTTTTCTGTTTTCCTCTCTTTTCTCCTACTTTTCAATCTAATTTCTAAGATGCCAAATTGAGTTTTTTTGATGTAACCAATATGGGGATTATACCAGACTACTGCTATTCCTGGTCCAGTTGGAAATGGATTTTATTTTTTGTGGGAATAAATGATGCATGATTGATCATCATCGTGATGCAAACAAGCCTTAATTCTTTGTTCAACAGAGTAATTAATGAAATAGTATGTTTAGATATTTTGTGTTCATTTTTTTCATCTTGTACATTGGATTATACCTGCTTGTTCAGAACAAGTATACCAGTGAATATTAGTCTACTAAATGTGATATTTCTTTCACCAAAGTATTGGTTAAAGGGAAAACTGACCCTTTTATTAAAAAGGGCAATTTTGATGCCTTAAGTAAATAAAAATTTATATATGCACACTGAATTTACTTTAAATTCTAAATCTAAAGTATTCAATATGTTTATCTCTTCTGATCAGACCTCAGAATACTTAGAATAAATGATGCATAACAGCAGACTGTGGTTTCCTCTGTAACTTGGCCCAGGTCTGAGAGTTTCCATGATTTGCTGGTAAAAGGGATTCTGTTACCTTCTCTCTCCTCACTGATTTTACTGGGGAAGGGCAGGTAGGAGCATAGTCTTTCTCCTCTCATTTATGACGCCTGTAAAAGCAAATTCCTCTGAAGGGAACTGCTGAAGATGGTGCTTAATTAGCTGCCTTCTGTGGAGACTGGTTCTGGGAGCGCAGCTTTTGAGTGTGCTGCTCCTGACAAAGCCCATAGTAGCTAAACATTTTAAAATGCATATTAATTTTTGAAGCAAGAAGTTTCTGATTCTGCAAATGGGACCTGTCCTCATTCTTCACAGAAGAGGCTTCTCTATGCTTCTTTTGCTAGTTTACCTTTCACACACTTCTAGAATGTTGTCTCAGTTTTCTGTTTAACACATGTTCGAAAGCATGATAGAAGCATCACACTAAGTCTCTGTACACAGTAGTAAAATTGAAGAGGAGCTGCTAGATTTTCCTTTCATCTCTGCAGACTGTGTAGCAATAAACTTAATTCACTTTGTATTTAATTGTCAATTCAAATCTGAAAGTTGTAGAAGAAGGTATATAGGATAAGCTGTGCTTGCTTTCGTGGAATAATCTTGGGGGCACTGCAAAGATGCTTATGAAATGAGACTGCATCTTGGGTTTATTGCTGCTTCACCCCCCCCAAAACACAGTCTCCTACAAGAGTGGAATGGGGAAGATTAGGTTGCTGTGATAGAAACAAAGAATGAAGCACAAGTAAAATGGGTTTGATTATTAGATAAGACAGTTGTATCTGGAAAAGAATGAGGCAGGTATGTGCAAGAGGATCTAAACCTGTGGCCTCAGTTTCGCAGGGTAACAGCTCTGCTGCTGCTCCTGACCTTGTGCCTCATTTTGCTCTGCCCTTTCCCAAGTATCTGGGTTATGCAAATATGCAGTAAAAACACAGACTTGTTTTACCTTTTTGCCTGCCTTCCTTGTAATCTTGATTAATTTGCTGACCTGACACTACAGTGGGAAATCAGTGCAATGGAGGTACAGTCTTTTCAGGGGACAGAACTGCATCTTCCAGCAACAACAGTGTTTTGTCTCTGTAAAACTGTGGCCTGACACCAAGTGAGTGAAGAAGTCATCAGGTATCCTACAACCTTCTAGAAAGTAGCTATTTTGCTGGCTAAGCTGGGAGTTCCCTCTTTTCTCAACATGTGAGGCCTTTAAAAATAACCAGATGCAGACATCAATTCATGGAATGCACAGAAATTTGCTGGCAGTGACACTGCAGTCACAACTTTGTGATGAAGGATAGAAAAAACTCGTGTCTTTAGAAAGCTGTCAGCACTGCAGTGACACCTCTTAGCTGAGGCTACTGAGCATTTCTAGCCTAACATGTCATCGTAGCGCTAAATGGTGTCTTTCCTCTGGGCATAAATTTTCAGAGATTAATGAGAGTTACAATACTATGCCCAGTATAGCCAGTGTAGATTCAACTGACTTTAGAGAGGTGTCTGTATGAACAAGTATTGCTGGTACTGGGTAGTGGTGAGATCATTATGGGGAAAAGTGGCAAGATAATAGGACCTTGGAGATTCAGCATGAATCTTTTCCATGACCATACTGAGGCTTTGAAGCAAAAGAATGGGCATGACTGTCCCTATAGAATCAGAATCGTTAAGATTGGAAAAGACTGTTAAAATCATCAAGTCCAACTGTCAATGCATCACCAGCACCTTGTTCACCACTAAATCAGGTCATCAACTACCATTTTCACAGGTTTTTTGGATGCTCTCAGGGATGGTGACTCCACCACTTCCCTGGACAGACTGTTCCAATGCTTTACAACCTTTTTCATGAAGAATTTTTTTCCTAATATCAAAACTATACCTCCCCTGGTGCAACCTGAGCTGATTTCTTCTTGTCCTGTCACTTGTTACATGGGAGAAGAGACCGACCCCCAACCTCAATAGCTTCCAGGCAATTGTAGAGAGCCATAAGATCTCCACTGAGCCTCCTTTTCTCCAAAGTAAACAAGTCCAGCTCCCTCAGCCACTCCTCATAGGACTTGTGCTCCAGACCCTTCACCAGCTTTGTTGCCCTTCTCTAGACATGCTTCAGTGATGTGTTCAAACAGACTTCTCTGAGTCTCTAAGCAGAATTCTGTGTTCCTTCCTTTGATCTCTGTTGCAAATGGAAGCTGATTGTATCCTTCTCACCTTTAACCCTTCTTTTGAATACAAATAGATTTTATCAGGTGTGTTAAACAGGTGTTACTTGATGCTTGTGGAAAGCTTTTGTGTTTTCCATCCTGCTTGGCAATTGTTTAAGCCGGAGCTGCAGATCACATCCTTTTTGGCACCCAACATGGGGTCCTGCCTGTCCTGAGCTGAACTTCACTAGAAACTGTGTAGGGGGCACCTCCCCAAACGACCACCAGAGACAGGCCCACACAGGCTGTAACAAGTATTGCATAAGGTTGCCAAGCTGAAAGACTAGGCATGAGGTAGGTGGTTACTATGTATTGGATAGGTCGGTTTCTGTAAACTTTAGTGTATACATTTTCTTGCCTTTTACACTTTGGTGTGCTTGATTAGTGGAAAAACTTCCACTTCTCAGCCCACGCAAAATAAAAGTCTCCTTTCTAATCCTGACTCTTTGTCCATGTTTAGGGAGTTCCTAAAATTTAGCAACACCAGCACCTCAATGTCTTTCTGGAAGTAAGGGGCCCAGAAGTGGGCACAGGACTCAAGGCATGGCCTCACCAGTGCCAAGTACAAAGGGACAATCACTGCCCAGGTCCTGCAGCACACTCTGTTTCTGATGCACACCAGGAGGCCATTGGCCTGCTTGATCAACTGGGTACACGGCACACTGTTGGCTCATGTTTTGCCACCATCAGCTGGCATTGCCAGGTCTTTTTCTGCTGGGCATCTTTCCAGCCACTCTTCCCCCAGCCCACAGTGCTGCCTGGGGTTGTTGTGACCCAAGGGCAGCACCTAGCGCTTGGTCTTGTTGAATCCCATAACATTGGCCTCAGCCCCTTGATTCAGCCTGTCCAGATCCCTCTGCAGAGCTTTCCTGCCCTCCAGCAGATCAACACTCCCACCCAACTTGTGTCATCTAAGAACTTGCTAAGGACTCAATCCTCTTGTCCAGGTAGTCAGTGAAGATATTAAACAGAGCTGGCCCAAATACTGAACCCTGGGGAACACCACTCATGACCAGCCATCTACTGGATTTAACTCCATTCACCATCACTCTCTGGGCCTGACCATCCAGCCACTTCAGCCAGTGAAGAGTGCACTCATAAACACAACGAGCAGCCAGTTTCTCTAGGAGAGAGCTGTGGGAGATGGTGTCAAAGGCTTTACTGAAGTCCAGGTAGACAGCCTGCACAGCCTTTGCCTCATCCTCTAGGTGGGCCACCTTGTCATAGAAGGATATCAGGCTGATCAAGCAGGGCCAGCCTTCCACAAACCCATGCTGGCAGGGTTTGATCCCCTGTTTGTCCTGTATTATGTTCAGAGCAACCATTTGAGGCTACAAGCTTCAACCCACTAACTTGTTATCAAGCCAGCAAACTAATGGCCAGCAAACACCTGCCAAAAAGTGAGGGGACTTATTTATGGCCACTGGTGAAATGATGATGAACAGGGCTGGGCAGAGGTGCAACAACACTGGCAGCACTTGCCATGCAGTTTGAGCCATGGAGCTGCCTGTGGGCAGAGGAGGATGTTTAGAACTCCATCCTTGTCAGTGTTAAGGGCTGAGTTAGACAGGGCTCTGAATATTCTTAACTAGTGGGTGGCATCCCTGCCCAGGGCAGGGAGGGTTGGAACTAGATAATCTTTAAGATTCCTTCCAACCCAAACCATTCTCTGAGCCCATGGATTCCTTCTTTCTTGCCTTCTTTTTTTTTTTTTTTTTTTTCTATCTCACTTCTTTCCCTCCCCCCTTTTTTCTGCTCCCTTTCTCCCTTTTTCCAGTTTTTAATGCCCTTATTTTATTTTCCTTTGTCCCCATTTTTCTTCTTTGTCTTCCTTTTTTTCCTTCCCCCTCCTCTTTTTTGTTCCTTTTTCCTTTTTTCCCCCCCTCTCTTTCCTCCTCCCCCCCCTCCCCCCTTTTTGTTTTGTTTCCTGTTCTTGGCTTCTATTTTTCTCCCCTTGCTGTCCTACTTTAACCAGCAAGTTTTCCTCCTCCGAAGCACCTCCAGTCCCCACCCGGTGCCGCCGAGGGCTCCGCAGGCGGCGGCGCTGGGGGTGTCCGCCGGGGCGGTGCCGCGGGCGGAGCGGGCGGAGCGGGCGGATCGGCCGCGGCCCCTCCCCGGGGCGGAGAGAGCGGAGCCGAGCCCAGCCGAGCCCGCCGGAGCCGCTCTGCCCCGCCGCGTCCCGCTCAGCCCCGCAGCCTCACGCCCTCCGCCTTCCCCTCGGGCTCGGCATGTCGTCGGGCGGCAGCCTGAGCACCATGCAGCGGCTGGTGGAGCAGCTGAAGCTGGAGGCAGCCGTGGAGAGGATCAAGGTGAGCGGGGATGTCAGACCCGGGGCCGGGGGGAGGCGCGGGGTGCCCTGAACCCCGCGGCGCGGCCAGGAGAGGATCCTCTCCTGCCCTTTCCTCCGCGATGCCCGCGCCCTGGGAAGGAAGGGGGCGAGGAGTGCGTGTGCCCCCGAGGAGCTCCGAGCCCCAGCCCCGCGGGCGCGGTGGAGCGACTGCTGTTCACTGTGGAAGGAGCCGCGATAAATAATACAGTAGCCCCTCGTTAGTTCTGCACAAGCAAGCAGATAATCGGGAGTAGCTCCTCGCAGCGGAGCCAGGCGACTCCCTCCCGCTTCGGAGAGCTGGCAGGATCTGCAGGGGGAGGCGGCGCGGTGTGGTATCCGCTGGCACACTTGGAGAAGGCAGGCCATTTGCTACGCATGCATGAACCTTCTCCTGCTTGCATGTTTCCAGACAAAGGCGGACTGGTGAGGCGGTCCTGTCAACTGCCAGCTCCTCAGGTTTGGTGACTTGTCCAAGGCAGCTCTTAGCTCCCAGCAGGTCTGGAGGAGTCCACAACTACTTTGCAGAAGCGACTCTTTCCAACTCTTTTCCAACTCACAAAATCCAGCACAGTCTATGAAGGGATGAAGGTCAAAATAATTTATGTCCGGTGCTTTCCTCTTCTCTCATCACCTCCTTTTTTTCGCCATTTTCTCTGGCCAGTCACAAAACACCAGCTTCCTCAATCTGACAACAATGCCAGTACACTGAGTTGCAGAAACTTAGCTAATTGATTTAAACAATAATTCAAAATACTTTTCCTCATTACTCCTGTTCCTGGGCTGGTGAAAATTTGAAGTATTCACTGCAAGGTGAAACCACTATGGCTTTTGGATATCATCCTAATCAGTTTGTTAATGTTAGTAAATTTTATTAGCACATACTGAATTAGCAGATGCTTGATTCAGTACAAGTGACTATGGTTTATCACTGCAGTGATGTGTGGAAATCTGAGAAACAGCACAGTTCAGAGTACAAATGTAAACACTTGTGGCAAGAGGGATATTGTCTAATACTGAAATGGTTGACCAAACCATCAGTTGTTGCTGGTGCCCAGATCTCTGTTCCTGCTCAATTTGAGGTATATATACCCTCCCCACTCCACCCCATTACAGGGGTTTTTTTGTGCGTGGGGAAGAGGTATAAAATACAGTTTATAGTTTGCAGGTACTTTGTGCCCATAACATATTTTGGAATTGGACTTCCTATATATTTATTATGGGTTTGCTCTTATTCCAGGGAGGCTTGGCCTTGATTGGCCTCGGTCTCATTTTTCTTGCAGCATTGTGCACAGCAATCTGTTTCCCAGTTCTAGGAACCTGTTCATGGCTTTGAGATGACACATGATTAAAAATGTATCTTAGAAAAAAAGTGTCATCTGGGTTTCTTGAGATACAGTGTAAAACTAACGAGGAATATATTTGGCTGGTGAAAAACCACCTGGTTCAGTTTAAGCAGACACTGGTATAGGAGAAAACATTGTTTTGGCTACTTTGAATAGACAATGTGTTTCCAGACGGAAGCAGGCTATGAAAGGGTTTTTAAAAATACATTTCATACTATAAAGTCCCATGGTGATTTTGTTTACCCTGCCAGCTAAAAACGCAGACAGGAACAATATTTTCAGAAAGAGGAAACTGAGTAGAAAGAAGTACCCACACACATCTTGCACACGGGAGGCTGCTGCAGGGACTGTGGTTGTTGTGTGATGAAATACGGCAGAAACACTTGTACTTTTCATGTGAACTGGAGGAACGAAGAATTTTATGGGGGATAGATAGGGCTGGTTTGTAAAAAAAAAAAAAAAAAAAAAAGAAAATCAGGTTTGTATATTTCCAAGATATATGTATGATGTATGTAGCTAAGTATGTGATGGAGAGTTTGGTAGAAAAGTGCAGGGAGATGCTGTGAGGAACTGTTAACTCTCTGAGGAAAAAGCTCCATGCAGCCTTGGCCTGATCAGTGTTGGCAAGTGGCATCTCTGTGGTGCATAGTCAGGTACCAGCAAGGGTACCAGCTGTGGTTGAGGCAAGGGGGGTAGTAATGCAGGGGGTCCAAGGGACTACAGGACACCTCTGCAGCCTCCAGAGAGGGGTTCTCCTCAAGTAAGGGAGTGACAAAGGTAGCACTGAGGTAGTAGGAATCCTTACTGCGGATACTTCTCCCTGTACTCTGCCCAAGAGAACCAGAGAGGCTGAGGAAAAATGCTGACAACGGCCAAGTAAATTTGGGCAGTTACGAGGCTGAGTGTCCCCGGGGCAAAGTTGGAAGGTAGTGAGCAGGAGAACAGCAAAACAGCAAATGAAAGGATGTACTATGCCAGATTTCCCATATATTTCCAGATGCTGTTAGATGGGATGGCCCAGAACCAAAATTGCATCAGGGCTCCTGGGTGGCCCCTTCAGACAGGAGGCTGGGAAGTGTAGGTGGTCCTTTGGGTTATTGTTTTGGCAACACTGCAAAGTTGTGTAAGAAGAAAAATCATTGTTTCAGGAGTCAGAGGTAAGCTCAGAGGGGAACTTGTATTCCCATCAATATGCTCAGTTATTTCCTTTTATAAAAAATCTATCAGATGGCATGGATTTTGACAGTTCCCTGCAGCTATTCCTAGAGTGTGTGTTTGGGACATTGTGAATTCCTCTGCATCGTCCTTCAAGAATACAGACACATGACCGACTTGCCCTCCACTGGGAGAGCATGGGAGTTCAGTGCTGAGGACATCTTATCTTTGGGATCCTGGGTTTGTTCTGCAGATCTGGACTCTCCTCTTTGGGGCCAGAATGTGGATTTGAAGTTCTGACTTCCCTGCTGGGGAAGGTGAAATATTTGGATGGTCTTAAAAAGCTTTTCATCCTCATTCTCTTGCTTTCATTCCTTGGTATGGTTTGTGTTGCTTAAAAGTTTGGAAATTAAAATCCTTTTAATAAATTGTCTGAGGATCTAAGAGTTCAGATATTAAAAAAATAGGTTGGAAAATGCTGTGGTCGGGTCTCTGTGCTTTTTAATGAGGACAAATTGCATCACACTTGCACCTCAGTCCTTTGCACTCTCCTGGCTCATCACTGGCCTAGTATTTCATGCATGGTTCCACAGAGCTTTGTAAATGTGCTTCTGTGCTGACTTACAGGGTGTTTTAGAATCCAAGAACTGACTTGGCTGCACTCCAGCTCTGTTTGATAATAGCTCTTCAAGAGGAAATGCCTAATAGATGCTTATGAATGAATGAATTAGTTTTCTCTCTGGGCTTGTTTTTCCTTTTCAGGTCTCTCAGGCAGCTGCAGAGCTCCAGCAGTACTGTATGCAAAATGCCTGCAAAGATGCCTTGCTTGTTGGGGTCCCTGCAGGGAGCAATCCATTCCGAGAACCCCGATCCTGTGCTCTACTCTGAAAACAGGTAATAAAGTCACAGATACCATGACAACCACTCTGATTTGAAACTCAAGCCCTTGCAGGGACAAAGAAACATGATGATAGTTGTTTAAATGTTGAGTTCTTTGTGGAGAAGTGTTTATCATTTCCCTGCTGTCTCTGCAAATGGTTTTCTGTTTCTTTTAGGTGTGGCAGTTGAAGCATGTCTTTTTCCCCACACTCCTTCTAGAAGTGTTTTGTTTGAGTTGGGTTTTTTTTTGTTAGGATGGGTGTATTTTTGTGTTTGAGTGACTCTATAGTCCTTAGCAGCATCCAAATTAATTAAAATTGTCTAAGATACACAGCTGTGTTTGATACAGGCAGACAAAAAAAAAACAAGTCACGTCCCCAGCCTGGAGAAGACAAAGCTGTGGCAGTTGCATGTGTTGTAATGACTAGCTCACAGCTTAAGCAAGAACCTTGTTAAAATACATTTGGTCTTCAATGTCATATTGCAGTTTATTTGGCTGTGTCTGTCCTTAGGCTCTTCCTGTTCTTAGTGTTGGTACAGCACCAAAAGCGGTGGAAGGAAAGAGGCACTGAGGCACTCTGCAATCACATCCTTTCTCAGCACAGTTCTGAGGGAGGAGCTACTCCCCAAACTCTGCCTCAGTGCTCTGCCTGGCTTGTTCCCATGTAACACCTGCAGAATGGATGGGTGGGTGACCATCTAGCATTTGCAAATCTTTGGGATCTGATTCCGTGATTCCCACTCCAGCCTCTCCCATTAGTTGCACAGTGATTGCAGTAGGAGAATGAAACACCATGCATGTCAGTAGTCTTAGGCAGGACCACACCTTAACTTGGAAAATCTATTTCTTTTGCGTGACAAACAAATGTGGAAGTAGGATATTCAGAAGGGTTACTCTTCTTTAAAAGAAAAAAATGAAAGTAGTTCCTACTAAAGAGCTGAAAAATCTACAGAGAGAGGAAGAGCCATTGAATTCTGTTCTTTCTTAGAGGGTGCTGTCAAATAGAAATGGAATGCTTTCTTAAGGGCAGATTGAAGCTATAACACAAAATTCTTGTAAAATCTTCCCGTTCCTGAGCTTGCAGTTGAGCTTTTTCCTAATCAATAGCATGGCTTTGATTGTTGCTACATAGGTTTAACAAAACAGGATTGAACCTAAAGAGAGAGAACAACTGACATGAGATGCTATTCTGGAAAAACTTGGCAGAGGAGAAGCAAAAGTAGATTTTCTTAATTTAGGTGCTACCCTTAATTGTTCATGCAAATAAGATAAAATTGATAGTGGCTGTTGCATGTGTTCTTCTGTTATAGAAGCAGCCTTTCTACCTCATCTTTTTTTGGCAGTCTCTGTGCGTATGGATGTATGTATTGTAGGATGCGACTATGATCCCATCTTCCATTTAGATTACAAAATATTTTCTCAAGAGTTTGAAGATTAATTTATTATGCTTTGAGAAATGCATGTCTCAGTGCAGGATGTCATTTAGTATTTTTTTGCTGATAGATAAAATATGTAGTTTATTATTATTTTGTTATCTTAGGATCATAAGAAAATTAGAACAAAGTAGAAAAGCCGAAAAACAAATGTTATGATATGCAAAGGTACCAATATCCAACAAAGAAAAGTGGTTATTCATGTTTTCCTCAGTGCAAAGGACTTTTTCTGTTGTAATTTGTAAGAGAAATATATCAGCTTAGGAAGATGGCATTTAATAAACCTTTTCTTTTTCCTCTTACAGGGAAGGTCATCAGAGAATTGCCTTCAAGCATGACATGAATAATAACTGCCTTCCCTTCACAAGAAAAGTCTCCCTTTGTGTCCTGACTTTTATGTGGCTAAAAGCAGTGTCCTAGATATTTATTTGTTTGTTCTTGTGAATCTGTATTTCACTGTCTTTTGGTAATATTTTTGAAGTTTTTTAATGTAACTCTCATCATAATCATCACCGCTGTCACTATACTATGCTAACTATACAAATATTGCTTAAGAAGTTTACATTTCAGAAATGAAAAACGTGAATTTTTCTAAATTACTTACTTTGATCTTGATAAACTGTAACACCAGAATGATGGCAAAAATTATTTTTTTCCCCAGAACAAGCCAAAACTGAATACCTAGGATATACAGCTAAATGCTGTTAGTGCTGAAGTAATGTTCTCAGGGGGAATTTTGCTTCCATTAGCAAGACCTGGAGCCAACTTCGTGTTTTTCTCAAGTTCATCTCGGTGCATAAATGACACGTCTTAGAAACTGCTGGACACAATTTATAGCACAGGCTTGATTTCTAAAGCATGTTTCTTGCAATACTTCTAATCTGTAATCCTTCTTCTAATTTGTATTTGTAAAAGTACTGTTATGGTGGAATTTTCTTGATGTATTTAAAATGTGACCAAACCGACACTAAAAATCCAGGAACACCCAAAGACAGTTGCATGCATCACTCTCAAGGTTTGCAATACAAGAAACTTATGAAAATGTACTTGCTGATTTTTCTTCACTTTTTTATAGATCACTTTTACAAGGATAACTAACTTTTTTTATAGGTTTTTAATTTTGTCTACTTTGTATTGTTTGTATTAATCTTTTAGAAGTTTGGAAATAAAATTCTTATCCATACTGGCTTTGAGCTCATTGTGTAAATGTAACAAAGAGCAGAATCCGTAAGGAAGAGGGTACTTGGATTTTGCAGTGGGAGGGGAGGCCTCAAGTGCTTTGCTTTTTTGGGAAAAGAAGGTTGCCATTGGATTTTTAGATACTATGTCTTATTAAGAAAAATAGCATTTATATCTATTTACCATTTTTGTAGTAATGTTATCAGGCTCACACATTTTGAAACTGTAAGGAAGAACTCTGCAGTCTGAGTACTTAATGTTCATTAATGTTAACTGAAATGGGGCAGTGGGTGTCCTCCAGGCTGCTGTCTTTGTCAAAAGATTTTCATGCTTGCTGTCCTGCAGAAAGGCACCAACATGACAGCTGTAATACTGCCAGTATGTATTGTGCCTCTAAATACACATTCTCTTGAGAGAACCTCCGTCGTTAAAAGCTTTTCTTTGCTCTGGATTCCTTTCACTGTAAGCTATTTGAATATGGCCGTTTTTCTTCTAGTACTTGACACAGGTATGCACTGCTGAGGTCCAGAGAAAGCATAGTTATTCTCGCTTGCACAGGGGCAAGTGAGATCAAAATGCTGAAGTCAAAGGTACTGGTGATCATATGAATCAAAAGGCTTGGGACAGCCTTCACCTGGCTGCTGGCCACTCCCTCCCCAGCAAGCCCTTCATATTTCTTTTACCTCCTGTCATAAAATCTCCCCTCATTCCCGCAGCTGTTTCTCTCCCCACCCTTATCCCCCCCACTGTTGCATACCCCTCCTGGCTTAGTGTCCTCAGTTGGAGCTTTTGTTCTGGCGTGGCTGCTGAGCTGGCATAAGGAGTAGCCAAATCACAACGTGCAGCAGAGAGCTGCTGGAGAGCCAGTCAGCCGCGGTTGGCTCTTGGCTGCCCTGCCCAGTTCTGTGTGGTCTCTTTTCAGCAGGAGCACCAGTGCTGTGAGCACACTTCAGGTCCTGGCTCCATCAGCATCTTGCACCAGCAGCAGACAGAAAGACCCGTGCAGCAGCTGTGAGATGGATTGGGAACACTCCACCCTGATTTTCCTCTGAGTATAGTGGTTATTCCTCAGACAGGGATTCCAGCCTCTCCCGAGGAGTGTGGTTGCTGCACCCCTTTGCTCTCAGGGCAGTGTGTGGCCAAGCTACTAGGTACAAGCAGGGACAGGACCGACAGCAATACCTCTGCCCTCCCAGGCTGTGTGCTGTGACAAGAGTTAAATGTCAGAATAAGCTCCAGAGCGGGATTGGTTGGCACTGAGGCTCTTGGGTTCCTGTTGGGAATCAGTGTGGTGAAGCATGCCACTGCTGGTCATTTTGTGCTGGCTAGATGACGCAGCATTTTAGCGGCTCAGCTTTTGCAGGTCCTCTTTTCTAGGTGTAGCCAAGGAACCTGACAAATGAGCCTGGGCAGCTGTCTGCTTCTGCAGGCAGCAGAACAGGTTGTCTCTTACCTACCCAGTCTACAGGACAGCTGCAGGTGTACCTGGCTGTGCATTACTGTCCTGACAGGACAAGCATCGCATTTTGCTGTCTCTGCTTTAACAGGTGTAATCTGCAGTGGGGTGGAGAGCTGTGGGCAGCATCCTAGCTCCCTTCACAGGCTTTACCAAAGACCATCCAAGAGGGCTGTCTGTGGCACAGAGGCCTTCACACCATCTGATGGCAGCAGGTCCCACGGGATGCCCACAGTAAAGCAGAGAGTGAGTGCACACGTCTCTACACTAAGTGGCTCACACGAACCACAAGACCCCCTTTGCTCGCTGTCCTCTCCCCCAGTCTATCAGGAAGACTCTTCTCCATCTACAGGTGCCACCTACTTGGTCATAAAAAGTTTACAAACCTGTTCCAGGAATGGAGTGTCCTTACCTGCTGATGGAGGACTGGTGGCACGGTTTTGTCTAAGAACCAGTTGCTTTCTAATTCTTAGATGGTTTGGGGATGGGGGGGTTTGGGGAAGCACATCTTTGTAGTGCCATAGTAATTTTACCCTGCATTAAAGAGAAAATGGGGAAGAACATAGTATATGATAAAGTTGTCACTGTGTGACAACTTTGTGAGAGATTGAGACTTGTCATAAACAAATACAGTAAAGCAGTCTTTGCAAACATTTTTCCTTATTTTCTACTACACTGCCCTTAACTGCACACTGACATTTTTTCAACTTAATGGAAACTTAATGCAGGCAGCACTTGAATTTTCTTATTTAATGTAGACAACATGCCTTTGTTTTCAAAGTAACCTATAGATTATTTAAGCTACTCTTTCACAACTGTTCATGTGAAATTTCTGGTGACAGCCTTTGCCTGTGGCAAAGGAAGACACAAATACATAGCTTGGAACTGGCAGCTATAATTTTCTCCAGCTGTGGTCTTCTGTGACTGGGACTTTGTAGAGCTGCACTTTAAAAGAAGAGATTCCTTGTTCTAGCAATCTGGGACGTAATTTTGAAAAAAAAAGTCAAACACACGATGCAAAAGGTGGAAAATGGTTAGGTCAAATGACTAAAAAAATGGTCCAGAAATAGTAAGCAAACTGCAATTTTTATTAAAGTCTTTCTCTTATTCACAGAAACACTGGCTTGGTTGCTATTTTACTAGAAATCTTTTTATATTATCACTTGTGAAAGGTATTTTATAAAGTCTTGCTAATAGTGTGGGTACAAATAATTTGGGAATATTACTATGAACTAAAATTGTGATTAGTGCTGTCATCATAGCTTTTAAGAGCTCACTTAAAAATCAGCACTCCATTTTCTCTGAGACAAAATCTTTCTCCCCTAAGTGCTTTTTTCATTTATCCAAACAGTGAATATGTGCTTAATGAAGGCTTCATGTCAAATAAGTTTTTCACTGCAAGTATAAACCATAAAATTAGTAGTTTTTTATTTTCTTTATTGCCCCCCCCTCTTTCTGTAACTGCATCAAACTTAAAAAGGTTTGTGAGTTTGAAACCTGAATCATCTCAGCTGAAGGCCGTTGACCAGACAGAGACATCCTGGAGCTGGCAGGCATGCCTGTGGATTCCTGCAGCAGAATGCAGCTACTGTCTACCATTGCTCCCAGCAATCTTTTGATGGAAAGTGAGGGTTTGGATACTATTCTATCCTCTTCTGTAGCTTACAGCTGAGAAAGCTTTTTTTCCTTATCTCTCACCCCTTCTAGCTGTACCTTACAATATCTGGAACTCCCTCCCAAATGACTCCCTACTTGCCAAAGCACTCCAGAAGGTTGAAAAACATGGATGCCAAGAAATAGCCTCCACCAGGTTATGCAGAAAGCGAGGGTCACAGCTTAGTTCCCTGAATCAAATCTGTGGGCATGCTAAATTTCAACACATGCTTCACATGTTGTCCATAAAACAAACAGGTTTTTTTTCTGTAGCTTAACTGTGATTAAAAAAGTTCAGGGACTAATCACATGGTTTCTAAAGGAGCTGTCAGAATGAAGGAGTGGATCTGAACCCAAGTGACAACTACAAAGGGTCACAGCTCTAAGTGCAAGACATCTCTTAAGACCTCATAAGAAGCCTGGAGATTCTGGCAGATCCAACCCATTTTTACATTTGGAAAGCTATATGCTCAGGGAGCAAACATAGATGAATTGAAAACACCATGAGCTTCAGTGTCTGTTTTTTTCCATTCATATTTTATTTTTTATATAAGGAGTGATAAAGTACTTTTATACCACCCATGAGAACAAACAGAGAAGCAGTAATTCTCAAGCTTCAAGGAACTAGTGTGTTTAGTAACACTTTAAAAACACACCAAAGAATCCTGAACTAGTAAGGATTCCTAAACCCTAATTTCTTTCTAAAAATTAACAACAATAAAAATTAATCTATTTCCCTTCAAAGACTTCAGGGATTAATAAAAATATATGTAACATGCAAATCCCCATTCTGTTCAAAAGAATTTAAGACGTGTTTGTCCATCACTTCTTCCAGGAACTCTTTCATATGTCAATCTCTTTTTTTTGAACTCTGCTACTTCTGGAAATCCTGAATCTGAAAAAGAAGTAGAAGAAAAGCCCCATGATAAAATACAAGTGCAGCACATAACTTAGCTATATGTTTCATATGTGTTCAACTTAACTTCAGCAGACTTAACTATGTATTTCTCAGAAGAAGTAAGACTCTAGCTTTAACCAGCACCCCTTCTATGAAAAGTATCAAATGCCATAAAATAAAACATGTACAGATTAATATTAACAACTACTAACTGCTACTGAACAGTTTTATGCATATCATCCTGTAATAAGAATATGTAAGTATGTTCATATATAATATGTATAAAGACCTTATAAAAAATAAATAAATCAACCTACACTATGCCTAACCACAATATTTTAGAAAAGATTTCAATTCTTATTTCTATTTCATTAATATTACACTCAGTATATTCAGTAACTGTTGAAAGTGAATTCTTTTTAATTAATTCATGTTCATGTTTCTAAGTTGTTTAAAAAAGCTACTTACATTCTTAATACTAAAGTTATTTTACAATAAAGTGTTTGAGAAGTTGCTTATTCATAACAAGTTATTGTAAGAAAATTCTGTTTGGTCTTCACAAAAAGTATTGTCAGAAAACTCTAACATTGACCTAAGGATTTAATCTGTTTGAGTAGAAATACTGGCTTGGCATGGTATCATTAATTGTCTGTCGTTTAATGACAGCTTGATCCAAAGCCTGAAGAAATCCCTGGGGGATATGTCTTTTTAACTTGACTCTACATATTTCTTAAATGTGGGATTTTACATTTCTCAAATGTGGTACCAGAAGAATCTGCCCTGATCTCTACTGAAAATACTGTATTTAAGATTTTATGCTACCAGTGCCAGTTACAGGTTACTGAAATACTTGTTAACTACTCAGCAATACTACAGGTCTCAATTTTAATCCCAAAGGAAAGGCAATAGGTCTGTTCAGAGTTTCTGTGTGAATGTTTAAATTTACATAGGGTGAATATTAAAAGTTCACCACATCCAATTAACTTTTTCTTTCTTTACTGTCATAATTACCTTGAGCAATCCATGAAGCAGAGTAATTTAAATTAGTTGCTTATGTTTTCATGAATGAGTCTGATCTAATCAGTGAAAATATTTTAATGCTGTGGTGACCTTGGTATTCCACAAAAAGATTTAATGACAAGCAGCAACAGAGAAATCATAAATTAACTCATCTGTACTAGGAATTAGGTGCTTAACTTAGCAAACTTAACCTTGGATTTTTAAAAGAATGTGGCACCTCACCTACAGGGAAGCAGAAGAATTTGAAAAGTACTACAATAAATGATACAGCAGTACATGGTCTGTATGCTGACACGGACTAGTGATGCTTTCTTAATTGTAAGACTCCATGGCTACATATTATGGCTTATCAAAAAAGGTTTCAAGCTGACTATATTTGAAAAAGAAAACCAATGATAAGAAAACTATGAAAAATGAATATTTTGTATAAGGACTGTACATACTTCCAGGGTAAACAAAGTTTTGAAGTACACACTATAATGAAGAAATACGCTTTGGAATGATTTCAAGTGGAGAGTTCAGCGCTGGAGAAATTAGCTAAAAAAAATATTCCAGGAATAAGGGAACTGTATGAAACAAAGCTAGAAAATTTTCAGAGTGCCATTTTTACTCCATTAGCACCAACAGCAAAACACAGCCATTAGGAGTATCTGAATTTCACTCCTGAATTTTCTCAATCTCTTTTTTCCCTATAGAAAAAATACTTTACAATCTTTTTTTCCGCCTTTGGCCCAAATTTATGTTTACAAAAGAATCTTTCCTGTTACTTTAAAAATAATTCTGGTATGTTCATTATCCATATTTCAGGCACTGTTAAAGTGAGAAGAATCTGAATCTTACAATATTGGAGAACTACACTTCTCAATATTTTACCAAGGAAAAAACCCAGCAGTAACACAATTCTAGTTTGTTAGGTTTGTTTGTTTGTTTGTTCATTTTAATATTCTTTATGCCCAAAACAGAACCTGTTTAGGAACTTTTTATCACAGAAGAAATACACCTGCAAGTAAGTTTTAGCAAAGGAAACATGTTAACTGTTGGGTTGGTTTTAACCACTATTTGAAGAAAATAGAAAGGATAATATTACTAATACTCATTTCAACTTTCCAGTTGAGTTACAAGCAGAATTTCAGCAAATTCTGCTTGCTTTGGACATACCTGTTTTATTTTTTTCTTTTGCCCGTAAGAATGGAGGCCTTTTTTTTCTCTTGCCTTTAGATTCTCTACCTGTTTGGTTAAAATTCAGATTTTGAAGCTCATCCGTGTCAACAAAGAAGTCAGAGAGGAAACCATCACATGTGAATGAATTACACAGGCCTGTGGAGGAGGAGTCATTCCATGGGGCCTGGTCAATCTGAATTTCAGGGCTTTTGAATGTATCTCTAAATTCTTCTAGAAAACTCCTAGAGCTCTCCTGAGGTTCACAGATGTTGAAAGTTGCAATGAAATCCTCTTTTTCAGAGTCTTTAGAAGAAGGATCAGAGCCATCATGTATCCTGAATGGCTGTCTTTGAACACGAACAGAATTTGGAACATCTAGATGGGCAAAATCTTCATAGCCCTTTGATACAGCAAAGAAACTCTGCTTCCTCCTTGTAATTACATCTGAAGAACACGCATTCTTTTGCATACAGCTTGGAAGATCAGACTTAAAAAAACCCTTACAGAGTTTCAGTGGAGGAATTAAGGCTTCAGAATCCATATGAGCTGCTCCTGGTAGAGAAAAATTTGAAGCATTTTTTTTTGAGAATGAAAAATTAGCTTATTTCTCTACATTTTATAGAAAACCAAGATGCCATTGAGCATTCTGATTGAGTCTGTCTCCTCATAATAACTGGCCTTACCATGCTTAGAAGATAAGTGTTCTAATGCACTCAGATTTTTTCACTTGGTTTCAAATGGAACACATTTTTCTAGTAATTCAAGATATTACCTGTGCTGTTTAGGGCCTTATCAAGCAGATCTAAAGTCTGATTTTGTTTATAATCAGGACAGATTGTGTTGAGGTTATTCTGTTTTTCTGGCTGTGATTCACCTTGCACTGTTTTTTCTAGTGGAGCAGCATTTAGGTTGTATGAAGACATCATGTCACTAAAATGCTGAAACAACGAAGTAAAAATTGAGGAATATTTATAATACCTGTCTACATCTGTTAAACAAGAAAAGCTAAACCAGTTTTAAGATTCTATGATGTATAAGGTTTTGTTTATTGGAACCAACACAGGAGAGGCATGTACAACAGAAAATGTGCCACAGCCTTAAACCTATAAACAGGGTAAGTAATAGTCTCTATCTTGAAACACAGGAAAACCAGTGCCTTAATATAGTTTATTCTCTTTCATTAGGCCAAGACTGTAGGAACCAATGTCTGCAATGGATTGGTTCCTATCATGCATCATAGGGGAATTTAACTGAGATATTTTTCTTTTTCCTTTCTTGTTGTTGTTGCTGTTGTTTTTGTTGTTGTTGTTTGGTTTGGTTTGGTTTGGTTTGGTTTGGTTTGGTTTGGTTTTGGTTTTGGTTTTGGTTTGGTTTGGTTTTGATTTTTATAGGTCAATAAACATGGCTTTACACATATACAGTTATTACAATAGTAATTTGATATTCAGTTTCCAAATATCTGTTCACTTGCTCCTTCACCTGAAATGAATGCTTCACCTTAAATGAACAGTGTCCCCCACCATTTTCTTGAGTGATAAAGTAACTGCATTTTTTATATAACTATCTGACTATAATCAGTCTATAGTTTTCCCAGATTTGACCAAACTCAAACAGTAGGAACACATAAATCTTCATCTTAACATCCAGGGCTCTGTCAAATGCTTAGTTCTATGAATTTGTAAGTGATGGGTTTGTTACTGTGTAAAAGGCAGAGAGGGAGTTTTTAACAACATTTTGGATGTGAATGACATGCTAAAGTGTATAACTAATTTTCAAATGATACCAGGAATTGTGCCTGTAGCATCAGACTAAAAAACCCCCAAAAAACCACATATTACAACAGTGCAAAAAAGATTGACCTAATACAAAAAATAATTTTGGCCAACCTTTAAAACTTTTTTTGGAACCTCTGGTAGAAGTTCCTGCAGTTGATTAAAGCTTGCAAGAAACAACCTGTTCAATGAAGATCCCTTCTTTAACATAAACTGAGCAACCAGAGGGTTGATATATGGAAAAGTAAGCAGGCATTTCTCTGTCTGGAAATGGAAATTATATGTTAGATTGGTATCTGACAAAATATTTCTCTATTTTTTTTTCCCTACAAAATCACATTTTTATGAATAGGTCATACAGTGTATCATAGAAGTAGAGATTTCAAACTGTGAACTTTTACAGTCCAATTACAACTGCCTTTTTTTACTACAAATGTAACAAAGCATCATTTTTGAAACAGAGTAAGTTCCACAGAACAGTTTGACAAAAAGCAAGCACAGTCTGAAGATACTGATTTTCTGAAGGATAAAACCAGAGAATCATGTAAACTTGACCTGAAAACACATTACCAGATTTACCATTAATTCTCCATTTTAAAGTGAATTAGCTAGAGCAAGATAAACTGACAAAACTGGTTTTGTTTTACAAAAGTTATATTTGTAAAGAGCAATGGAACAGGTGCCAAATGCAGGAGTTGTCGGGGGGGAGGGTGAATGCCACACACAGTAAGCTGAGAGCAGTAGCCTGTTATCAGTGTCAGCTTCCAGTTCCTAACTTCCATAAAGCTCTGTACTCAACAGATGACAGGATCAAATATCTTTAACAGAGACAAAATACATCGACTCCTATCAGTTTTTTAACAGTATCCTTTATCTCTAAATTAGAAAACCTATAATCCAATATTCCATACTTGAAAGGCCATGCCAATATCTGCTTTATTATGCTTCTGAATTTTGCAAAAGCCAAGAACAATCTAAGCTTCATGAGAGTTCAAAGCTTTCACATAAAATGAACAAATCTGTATGTTTAACTTAAAAATCTTACTATACAAGCTACAAAACATCACTGATGGGCCTATTCCAACATTTGCTGTAAATACACAATATCACCTACTGCATGAGAAGTTAAACAAATGTCTCCTAAGGAGTATTAAAGCAAGTTGGCAGACAATGCCATTGGCTTTGGTAATGGATCACTACTGATGAATTTGGCTTCCTGCCCAAGTCAGCCATTGCATGTTCATCTCTTACAATTAGGTTTTTTAAACTTAGTGCCTAGAATTGTAGAACTGTACCAATAGGCAGACAAATGTGGAGGACAAACTTCTCTACAGGTTAATTGTGGAAGTCAGGGAAAGTCCAGGTTACCTCTAATTGTGCTGGCAAGGATGATGGAAATATAAATAAATAAATAAATAAATATATGTGTGTATAGATATATAATAATGCTTATTTAAGCAATTTAAATAATATATTTTAGGAGAACAACAACAAAAAAAAGCCTAGAATTTCTATGCTTTTGAGCCTGAGAAACAGGAAGAAAACTGTAAATTCATGGGAAGATAAGCAAACCTCAGATGGCAAGACAGAAAGCCAGGATTTGTCCAGCCACTCATGAGGACTGACATTAGATGTTATCAAAATGTTGTCAGCAATCTGACGAATTACCAGTGCTGTCTCTTCGATCCCCGGCATAAGAACTACCTAAAAGTGATGCAAAATATTTTTGGTTAAAACTTGTAGTAAGGAGTGTCTTAATTTGCTACAGAAGTTGAGGTGAAAACTAAAGATGAATTGAACACAACAGCTGGTAATGTGGAGTAATTAAACCTGATCCATGCCTATCATGCAGAGGAACTCCAATCTCTGACCACTAGCCTGGCTACAAACGACACTCCTTATTTATGGAAATCCTATGCAGATGAAATTAATTTATCCTATAGGTTTTTCATATGTGATCAATTTTCTGAGTCTGAATTCCTAATAAAACAAGCAATTCTGAGATGCCTAATGTAATTTATGTAACACTTTGAAGGTGTAATTTCCACACAAACTGCATTACTGTGTACATGGCATGAAAAAAGCTTTGTCCGCTCTGTAACTTTCATTCAATTAGATAAATTTTATATGAAATTTAATATGCAAATAAGTGAAAAAGTGCCAAAAAAGGTATTATTTCATTCAAAAATATGTTACCAACATCAGCTTTGTAAGCTGAATGAAAACTCTGCCCCATTTTTTAATGTTGATTATTCTATATACTATGTTTTCTGACTTATATAAAAAAAAAAGTTGATTTGTCTTGTCACATTAAAAAAGCAGACTAGAAAATTGTATTTATTTTTCTTCTTTTACATCAGTAACATAATACTGAGCTGAAATTTCAAATTAAGACATAAGCAGGATTAATCTATGTTCTAATAATTTCTTAAAGGTACAATCTCATTTTTTACTCTTAGCCATAAAAACAACACTATTTGAATCTCATTCAACTGGTATTGCAGTCAACAGACTTTTCAGTGAATTAAGGTACTCTCTCTGATTTTAGTAATTTTGAGCTATTTTATGTTTTTGATAGTATCATAGAATCAGATGGGTTGGAAAGGACCTCTGAGATCATCAAGTCCAACCCTTGATCCACTACTACCACAGTTGCTAGACCATGGCACTAAGTGCCATATCCAATCTCTTCTTGAATACCTCCAGGGACGGAGAATCCACCCTCCCCCTGGGCAGCCCATTCCAATGGGTAGCCTGATGTAGACTGCATACTTGTTTGAGCTCTCTAGAAATATCGTACCAGTGAAGATCAAAATGGAAAAAAATTACCTTCACTTCAAACTCTTCTGACTTCTGTGTAAGCTCAATTAGAGTGGCATAAAATAAGACAAGGTTAAGTAGAATATCTCCCTTGAGACTGTACCTGTAAAAGAGTTTGCCTGGACCGTTAACATTTAATGTGCACATGTAATAATTCCAAAATATGTCTTAATAAATGAAATCAAATAAATTTCAGAATACTAGTACAGTTTGAGCATTAACATTTGTGAAAGGAAAATTAGGATGCATTAAGGGACTGAGTGCTGAAGGATGGACTGTGAAGAAGAAAATGGAGTCAGCCCACAACAAAGCAAGCCCAGCCTGAAGCAAAAGGTCTATCACTGGAGACACTGGAGAGAAAACATACAGAGAGGAAACGTGATGCATGGGAAAATGAACACTTGCTTACAGAAAAAAAGAGATAATAAAGGATTGCTTATGAACTATGTCAACAAAAGGTGTTCTTCCATAGCAAAAGGAGAACTATGGATGCATAGGAAGAATACTTGAAGAATGTTTGCCTGTTGCAAATGATATATGGTGATGTTAACACAGTAATTCATAACTGTGCATTTGTAGGGGTTAATTTACTTCAAAGTTATAAAGAATAATTCCTGTGCTTCATATCCTTAGTCTTGTGAAATTTCTGGATCTGCTGATTTTGAATACACCTCATATTAGTATTGCCTGTTGCTTCATAAGAACCATTTCTTTATCTCTTTTGTAAAACTAAAAATATCCTAACCAAGAAAAACATATTTGCTAACTTTTTTGGGGTTTTCAGTGATAACCATTACTTTTGTCATGTCACTGAGTTTTTCAGTGGGACCATGACAACACTCTAACTCAGTGAAAAGTCCAAAGCTCTCTAGAAATATGAACTTACAATATTCATATTGTTCTAAGAAGAAATGTATTCCTACATGGAAGTTCAAAGCGTATCAACTTGTTTGAGTAAGCAGCTTCCTTTAATGATAAGTTTGTTTTAAAAATACCAGGATAACAAAAGAATTTCATAACTTACTCTGAACTCAATCTTTCTCTGGAATAGAAAACAATCCAACAGCATGTGTATTGGAGTGATAATGCTATCAGCCTTGATATTAAAGTGTCACAGGAATTCTCATAATTTAATTCTTCCACACTCTACCATAGAATTTAAATGAAAAGTAAATAAATACATTACTATGGCTGTCAGAGCTTCTAATTTGCATTGCTATATTATGGAGAAGTTAGATCAAACATAAATACAGCTAAGTAATGTAAGTATTAAGGACACATATGGGAATTGGGAGAACTAGCTAGCATTCCCAACTTTTATTTTGTTTGACCTTTAAAAAACTGATTCGCTGTTCCATGGCCCTTCTTTCTTCCTGTAAAAAGGAAACACTGCCACTGACTTTTTTGGGATGTTAAGATTTTTGTAAACTTTATTAATGCAAAATACTGATATAAACCTCTGAAGTACTTAACTTATACAAATCATATTATACCTACACTAACTATATAAAGTACAACATCACTAATTTCAATAGCATGTAGGAATGTCTGTGTTGTGCTTGCAATACTTATTGACTCTTTTATTATTTATCTATTTTTCAGAAGCAGTTCTTCTACCTAAAAAGCAATGTCTTCCTGCATACCAGAATTTAAGTATGCTATTGTTTAAACTATTATTTTTTATTAAAATTAGGACAAATTACTCTCTAGATTAATTCAGATAACAATCTGAAATGGGAGGAATTAACATGCACACTGGTAAGCAAATATAGCCACAAATACATTTAACTGGTTATTACAAAATTTCTTTATACAACCCTATTTTCATGTATGCATTCTTTATCTACATTTAATACAATCAAATCACAGGTCAAAAGTTACACTTCCGTGAAGAAACAAAGAACACTTCAAACTAGTTAAACTGTCAGAGAATTTTGGAGTTAATGAATTTGGAAATAATTTGTGATGTGAAACAATGCATCAATTATATCTGATTATGAGGAAGAAAGGGCAAGCAAGAAGCCTGTAGATATGGCCTAAAATTGACCCAACATGTAACAGAAATGGCACATAGCAGTTTAATTTTGTACCTGCAAAAAGATAGCAGTACATTCATCTATTGTCAACACCACATATCGATCTACACTTCCAAAGAGCCTTAAGGAGTAACTACTGGTTCTTTCAACAAAAGTAATGCTGTACCTGAAGAATTAAAATTATTTTATTAAAACGCAGCCAAGTAAAATATTTTTCTTAAACAAAATAAGTAACATATACCTCTTCATACACTGCTTTATCTTACAGACTTAACAGTCTTTTCATACCTTGATCTTTCTCAAATGCTCAGCTCACTTTAAGATACAAACAGTGAGCATCAATGTCACAGTGATTTAATGAAATATTACTGGATTAATTCAATCAGGTTGCTAACTGCATCAAATCTGACCATATATAACCTTTGAGTTTACCAAAAAAAAAAAGAAAAGTTAATACAAAAACTCAGATAGATAAATCAAGATATATACTTAGAAACTCCTTTTTACTACTTTTATATATTTAATTTCTTTTCCTCCTTTCATGGTGGTGCAGCACAGGGAAAGCAAACTGAGCGAAAACTCCCTGACTGCCATTGGCATGATTCTAATTTTTTCTGAGTGACTGAGAGCTGTCAGCAGCACAGGCTCCTGTAGTGTTTCATTAGGAAACACAAGAGACCTGAACAGTAGCTAAGTCCTCTACAAACTTATATGGACATTAACAAAAAAGTAAACTATTTTTTTTTGTGAAACTATATAGCTCTTTGCTCACCTATTTAACCACTCCATCAATGCTACAAGGAGCAAAAGTACCAAAAAACATTCCTAGCTATTTAGCTTGTGGCCAGCCTGAACAGAGAGTATGAACAAGTAAGAGTTTAAAAGCATGTCAGATCATATGTTCAAATTTTAAATGTCAAAGATATATATATTTTTCCCCCTACTGAACTGTAATTAGACACAGCTCAGAAATGGCTCCACAGCTGACTCAAGGATACAGCAAAGATCAAGATTGGTATGTCTCTGCAGCAAGGTGGTGAAATCAACCACCTATATCTCTGTCACTATGTTTAAGAGATACTGCTGCTCTGGTCTCTATTTCTTTCTTTCTTTTTTTCCTTTCCCCTCACACGATAAAAGGTACCTTTATGAGGTATTTATTACTGTGAAAGCAAAATTCAAGAAAATGATGTCAAAGTAAATAATGCAGAAGCACAATGATTTACAACCATGACAATTTTTGTACAGATTACAGAGTATTGAAATTTAAGTTAATATTAGATCTGAATTTTAGGAATAAATTAGCCTTTGTTTTGAACTTAGCCTCTCCCAAAAGCTGTGATGCATCAGAAAATAAAAATGTTTTAATATTGTCCACTTTGCTTTTTTAGCATAGGTCCAGTAGTTAAAAAGCAAAAAAAATCCAAAAGCAATTTTTATGAAGAATTAAATCCAAAGTCTTCCAAGCACCAAGAAACACTAAAGTAAAATGTTTTGGATAGCATTATGATTTTCAGGGAAAAGTAGACAATTAAAAGAGTATTTTGATTAGAAGTACCAGTTCATTGTTAACAATGAGCAAATTGGACAATTTAATTCTGTTTGACATCTTGTGAATCTCCAAAATTAAGCTATCAGCTTCAGCAGAAAAGCTCTCTTTTTATCTCTTAAAATGCTAATAGTGTAATTGCAGAAAGGTACCTGATAGCCAATTAGATGGCTAATATCTGATACCGTGGGACAAGATACATGTCCTGGAAATTGAAAAATAAATAGTCAATATGACGAAATAGGTGGTTTTCACTCACTTGGATTCAAAAAGCTGAAGAATATCTGGCATATTAAGAAGGCCTTCAGTTGTCAGAAATACATACGGAATCTGTACTTCCAGAAGAAAAGAATCGCTGTGATTCCCTAAAACATTTTGTATATATAAGACAATAGTTTCCTGAGCAAAAAAACTAAAGCTACATTTAGATATTTAAATAGATATAACTTACAAAACAAAGCTTTTATTCATCCTCAATAAAATAATTTCATTATAGGCGTCTCCCCCCCCTCCCAAATTAAACTCTTCTGAGTCTCTTTGAAATTAGGCTTTATTTCAGACTTCTTTAGAACTACAGCATTCCCTTAGGATGAGGAAGGGTGGATACAGCTTGTAGTAACTGTAAACAACTTATGAACTTGGTACAAGGGCCTTATAAGCCAACATGTACTACTACATCTTGGCCAAAACTATGTTTACACTTGAATAAAAACACCTTCCTATCTTGCTGGATAGATAAACCAGCTCTGTTTGCTTAGCATTAGCCTTCATAACTTATTCTCTTCCACAGGCACAAGAATGCAGCATTTTAGGGAACAGAAAATGTTTTCTTTCATATGCCAGCCTGTTTATTACAATTCTGGAGAGCACTTACCCATTTGTATTGCTTCAGGGAGGGTAGTTTTAAAAGTCATGTAAGCAACATTCAGATTTTTGCACAGACTTCTCCAGCAAGAATCTTCAGAATAATCATATTCCATTACTAATGAAAAGTGTGTCCAAGGGAAGTCAGCTCCAATTTGCTGATTATGTACAATAATGCAGGAATATCTATTAAGGCTTTAAAAAAATCCAACAAAATGTTAGTAAAGTTAAGTTGTGGAAGAATTACCCTCAGAACAAAATAAACTCATTTTTACTTTGATAAATTATGGCTGTTTAAAGTGAAGTATATTCTTAAAAAAAAAAAAAAGTACCCTTCCTGTATCTAAAACTCTAACTTCTTTAAAAATTACTTAAAAAATTAAAAACTGTAATTCTCCCACTCTAATTATCTTCTTGAAGCATTTATATATTCCCACAATGTCATAATTTTCCAATTTTTCGCTTAAGCCCTTTCAGCACCTTTTTCTAAAACATGCAAAAAAATTATGCTTCTCTAACCAAATTTCTTTAAAACATGCAAGACAAAATAAAAGGTTAGGAATATGCAACTGTTTGTTTTCTAAAAGTTCCTCTGAGTCTCAGTAAGCATTTTACAAGACTGTGGACAAAATAAAAATGAAGGTGTGGATCTATATTCTGAAAACTTTACTCCAGACTGGAAAGTCCCATGGAAATGAACAAAAGTAACTCAAGTTTCACTGACCTTAGTCCTGACTAAAGAGTTTGTTCTCAAAAATCAAGAATTTAACTTACTTGCTTATGATATCTTTACAAGCTAAAAGGGTTCCTTTTTTCTCAGAATTCAAATCCACAGCTTTTAAACCTGCTTTAAAAGAATGAAACCCTTGATGAAATAAATGAGCCACTGTGAGTACAAATCAATGCATGGCAGTAAGCAGCAAATGTGGAACAACACAGGTTATTGAAATTTTAGGTTCTACATTGTCTTTTTTGATGAAGTTCCACACAATTTCAGTTTGCATTGTACTGTTGGGTATAATGATTTGGAAAATTCTGTCTGGGAACCAAAAGAAGAATTAATGCAAAAAAGTTTCATGTCTCACAAACTCACAACTCTATTACCTTAAAATGAAAAATTAAATGGTAATGCAAAAGGAAGCACCATTGCCCCTTTATAAGTTAAATTTCTTTACATCTTCTACACATTTGAAATTTTACAAGTGAAACTGGAGGATTAATATAAGAGGAATATTGGCATAACACAAATGTCTCTCTTCAGAAGGGTAGTTAGCTGGATTGATCCGGGTTTGCAATCAAGCCTTAAGATCTTAAAACAAATAAACACTTTTCATTAAATATTATTATTAGTAAAAGCATTGCGAACATGCCTCCTCCCTTTCAAAACATTCTAAAAGACAGGTTTTCTTCTTTTAAAAGCACAGGAAATTTAACTTTATTTTTAGAGGCAAAAGAACAATTACAGTACATGACACTTGATAAGGTTCATGCAAGAAGGATTTATGAAAACAGATTTTAAAAAACACTATGAAAGGAATCTGTGGCCCTAAGTACAGGCTCAAATAACAGTTTTCCTGAAGCATATTTGGTTTACCAGCTGAATATGTGACACCGAACAAGTTTGTACAAAAATTACTCACGGGTAAAATGTTGAACTGATGAAAGCATTGCTTGTATCAGTGGGGAGATGGCAGATTGGAAACAGTATTTTTTTACCTTGAGTTTGCTACAGCTTATGCTGACATATTTAACAAATTAGCAAACGAGTGAAATAAGGAAAAATATGATCTATAACTAACTACTCATTCAAGGTTTTATGCTGGGGAGTTTAGTTAGGACTTCTAAATTCTAATTGTTCTTAATTAACTTGCAAGGAAGAAAGCTTGTGACCAACCATCAGCCAAAAGCAATGAAACAATCTGATCAAGACAACAGATGCAAATGTAATTAAACAATGGGCTGTCCACAGCTCTTTTGTGTTCTCTTAAAGAAATTTTGACTTGACAGATGAACTAATATTCTGCTGCAAAAGAAAACATTGTATCAGAACCTTAATGAGGAGAAAAAAAAATTAAAAGACATTAAAAACAGCTCATGGAAGAGTTAGGAAACATTAAACTGTGAGAAAAACATACAGAAAGGTTCCTGATGAGGAGAAAAGGGAGAAACATCTGCACGAAGCATTCAAACAGGAATGCAGCAAAACACAGAATAACAGCAATTTTTTCTTTAAAAAATACATATAAAAATTATTATTTACCTTCTACCCTAGATAACATGTGAATAAGAGTTGCTTTTTCTCTTTCCGAGTCCATTCTTATAATGATTAGTATCTGTAAGAAGACAAGCAGAAGAAACTCTAGTAATAATAAAAAATTCTTCTTTCAGCCTGCATACATCTTTATCTTTTGCACAGAAAGCACGAGATTGATTAAACAGGTGGCAAAAATAGAAACCTTGGAGCTTTCCAGAATGACAGTCATAGAATTTCTTAAGTTGGAATGGATCTGTAAGGATCACTGAGTCCAAATCCCTGCTCCTCAAAGGACTACCTAAACCTAAGCCATGTGACTAAAAGTATTGTCCAAATGCTTCTTGAACTCAGACAGGCTTGTTGCTGTGACCACTTCCCTAGGAGTCTGTTGCAGGGGAGACCACACTCCCAGTGAAGAACCTTTCACCCAGTGTTCAATTTCAACTTCCTCTGAAGCAGCTTTATTCCAGTTCCTTATGTCCTATTGCTGGTCATGAGAGAGAAAATCAGCACCTCCCCCTCCACTGCTCCCCTTGAAGAAGGCGTAGACTGTGATGGGATCACCCCTCAACCTTTTCTTCCCCAGTCTGAATGAGCCAAGTGACCTCAGCTGCTCCTTCTAAGTCTTGCCCTTGAGGCTTTTCACTGTCTTGGTCGTCCTCCTCTGGACACACAAAACACACAAGTTTGATGTCATCTTTATATTGTGGCACCCAAAACTGCCACAATATTCAAGGTGAGGCCACCCCAGTGCAGAGCAGAGTGGGACAATCCCCTCCCTCGACCTGCTGGTGATGCTTTGCCTGATTTCCCCCAGGACACAGTTGGCCCTCCTGGCTGCCAGGGCACTGCTGACTCACATTCACCTGGCCACTGACTTGAATTCCTGGGTGTCTTTCCATAGGGCTTCACTCCAGCCTCTCCTCTACCACTTTGGACATATAACCAGCATTGCCTCATTCCTGGTGGAGAATCTGGCACTTGCTCTTGTTATATTTCATACAACTGGTGATTGTCTAGCTCTCTAGTCTATCGTGATTTTTCTGCTAAGGCCTATCTGCCATCAAGGGAGTCCACAGCTCCTCCTAATTTCATATCATCAGTAAACTCACTTCATGCATTTTTTGATTCCTGCATCCAGACCATTTATTTAAGAGCACTGGTCCTAAAACTGAGCCCTGGGGAACCCCACTGGTCACTGGCCACCAGCCTGATGTATCTCCTTTCATTTTAACTCTTTGAGCCCAACCCAACAGCCAGTTGCTCACCCAGTCTAGATTTCTGATGGACAGGTCATCCAGAAGGATATTGTGAGAGATAATACCAAATTTTTTCTAACATTTAAAACCACCACATTCACTGGTGTGATCAACTTAATGGGTGACCTTGTCACAAGGGCAAAAAGAAAGTAATTTCGTTAAGTAGGACTTTGCCCTTGTGAACCTGTGTTGGCTGTGGACAATGACTGTGTCTCTCAAATGTTTTTTAATAATTCCCAAAATAACTTTCTCCATAATTACCAGGCACTGAAGTGGGACTGACAGTTCTGTAATTACCAGGGGCTTCCTTCTTTCCGTTCTTGAAAACTGGGACAACATTTGCCAGCTTCCAATTAGCTGGGATCTCTCCAGACTCCCAAGATCATTGAAAAATAATGGAGAGAGGTCCCACAGTGACATTTTCCAGCTCCTTCAGTACCTTGGATGAATCCTATTGGGCTGTATAGGTCTATGCACAGCCAGCTGGAGCAGCAAGTCGCAAACAAGTTCAGAGTTGGCTGGGAGTTTATCATCATCTCGAGTCACAGTCTGCTAACACTGGGCTCTGGGGGTAGCTCTGGGGGGCCCATCATAGAAGACCGAGGTAAAAAAAGGGTAATGAGCATCTCTGCTTCACCTACTTCGCTTTTTGTGAGGTGACCAACCTCATCAAGTAACAGACCATTGTTATCTCCGATTCTCATTTTGAAACTGACTTATTTTAAAATGCCCTTTCTGCCATCCTTCACAGTGCTGCTAGCTTGAGCTTTAATAGAGTTTTGACCACATAAATTTTGTCCCTACAGAAGTGAAAAACCTCTCTGTAGTACTTTCATGTCACTTGTTCCTGCTTCCAAAGTCCATATACTTTCCCATCTAAGTTCTAGAAGAAGACCCCTGCTGAGACAAGACAGGCTTCTGCCTTGCTTGTTTGGTTTTTTATGCCTTGGATCTTTCCAGTGCCTGCTCCTGCATTGGGAAGAGATGGTTCTTAAAAACCGACTAGCATTCCTGAACCTCAATACTTTAAAAAATAGATTCCCCAGATATCAAATAGCTCCTTCAGCAGTGCGAAGTCTGCTCTCCCCATATTCAAAGTCAAAGTTTTGCTGGTAATTTTTCTCCAACCATCAGCAATTTGAAACTTGGGTGTATGTGTGCATTGTTATAATGAATAAAGCTGTTCTAGAAGAAATATTAAACCGGAATATTTGTCTCAAAGTAAAAATGTTCCTTAAAGTTATTATCTAAAGACATTATACCCATTATTACTGTTGCACTAGACATATCTGTCACATTAGAGGTATTATCCTTATGGAGGCAAAACTTATTCTGAGGATATCTAGAATTCAGCCTGCAAGACAGGGATGTACTGGAGGGAGGAACTGCTGAACTAATTAAGAGATTTCCCAGGCCATAGACTGCCAGCCTGACAAGCTTAAGGCAAGAATGAGTATAAAATATAATAAAGATAAAAGATAATAAATCAAAGAGTAAAGTTTGTTTTTTTCTAAATCAGTAGCAGCTTCTTGCTTACAAAGGAAATGACACATTACAATCCTGCATCAACAACTTTGCATAATAAAAGGATAACCAGATTCTCATATTTTACATCATATAAACTGATATAGATGTGACATGATAGAACAGTAAATGGTTCATTAAGTACAACATTTACTTCTTATTAAAACTGGAATACTCCTTCTGCCTATTCTGAGCTCATTGAAACCTGTCTCCAAATGTAAAGTCACCGAAACCTCCCTCTCTTACGGAACAGTAAAAAATTTATAATTCTGAATAAAGTCATATATATAGTCTTACATTGCATGCATATGTTTGCATGACTTCAAGTCAAGGAAGCAAGACAAAACTCAGGTGAATTATAGTCAAAAATTGAAAAAAGTCTAGCGGAGTTCAGAAGAAAAGCCAAACTGTCACTGAGCTGACGTCAAGATGACAAAGTTGTCATGTTTTCTAGTAAACATAATCCTCGTATCAAAAAGCAAAATGCGTTACTTTGAAGAAAATTATGCTGAAATCAGCTTACAGTGTCTGTTAGAGGACAGACACCAAAACAATCAACACCATTTTTTGTTGCTTCATTTCAATTTTAAATTTTAAAAAGTTGTATTATAAGCTATTATATTGTTCTTCTCAGGAAAATTTGATCAAAAATTATTCTGAGTTCTTACTGCAACTCTTAACAGAAACAAAAGAAGAAGAAAGCTCCAGGTAGTGAAGTATGGAATGTAGTTAAAATAAACTTGATTTTTTGGCTTTGTATCTTTTTTGGTTCTGTATTTAGCAGCATAAATTCTCTTCCAAACAGTCAGGACACTTAAAACATTATGCCTTTTATCCTGTCTGACTCATTATGTGACCAGTATTCTGTAAATAAATAATAAATATTTTGCAAAGGTAAGTAGTATTTTGCACTGCATGGTACCCCCCAAAATATCCACATATCCAGAAAAAAAGTCTTTGGATAATTTGAATTTCCTCCATAACTCTATCCTCCATGCCATAGCTATCAATTATGCATATTTGCTTCTTATAGAATTAAAATAGTAGGAGATTGGCCTGATACACTGGTTAAGCAGAGATCATCTACGGATAACAATACCCACATACTCTGTGGTGTGTGTGCTCCAAGTCAGCTGTACAGCTGCACAGTCATGACTTGTGCTATGATTCGTTCTGCATCAGATGATTGAAGCCTTCAAATAAAAGGTTATATACAATTTTCAGTAGCTGATGTGACACAATATACTTACCAGGGAAATAAAACCACCTACAGAGAAATGAAGCACTGGTAATGTTAAAATTCACATGCATGTTATCTCAGGCATACAACAAGGGGAGACTTGATCCAACAGAAACCTGCACTGCTCCTGACAGAGGTCTTAAAATTTATATTACTCTTATTTAACAGATAGTATGAGTTGGAAAGGTAATTATTAAACTTCTTTTTTCCCATTAACCAGATCTTGTTAAAAGATGGTGTTATAAATATTCACATAGTCTGGAACAATTTTGTTTGCTTAAAGAAATTGGTTATATTGTTAACCTTAACACTGTGTTTCTCTCCGTAACTTTTCATCCAATTTAACATTTCACACTGAAGGGCTGTTATTTTGGGATTTGTTTCATGCTTTTTCTGGCTGCTGTACTGTACAATCTTCAACTGCCTCCAGATGTTATTCAAACAGGATTCTAAGATGTTTTTATAGATATCCTTTGCCTTGGACAAATAACCTGTCAGTAAAGCAACAAAAGAAGCAATTGCAGCAACAAAAGATGATTGTCAAGCATTCTGTCATGCACAATGATGAGAATTAATCTGCACATCAATTTAAAATCTACATGAAGGCTATCTGTCACAAAAGCAGATGAAAATTTAATATCTTGCCAAAATGGAGGGATACTATTGCCAGTAATCAGGTATGTGAATGGCTTTTGTAAAACTGCTATACTTTCTGTAGTACCTGCCATATGACTTCAGGTATTCAACATGACATTCTATGGTTGCACAAGCAGGCAGCAGCACTGTTTTAGTTAACTAATCTATATAGTTTATACTAAATAACATCAGTATTTCTGCCATCACTGTCCCAAGCTTCACTTGTCCTGTGTGTTTACTACTCTTCAAACTTTCTCAACTAGTTCTCTACTCTGAATGATACCTTCTGTATATAATTGGTGAACAACGATGGGGTTATTTGAAAATGCATACATCTGAGATAACTGTGTGACGAATTGCACAGCACATCACAACAACACAAGAAGAGATGTAGTGAAGAATACAAGGCCTACTTAGAACCAGGCTCCATTTTACTAAGTTTTTCCCAGACCTTTTTTACTTGTATGATTTCCTGTGTCAGCTGTTGCTGGGGTTTGGAGATACAGGCGTTTTGTAATTCTGAAATATCATCTAGGAGTGCTTCTGCTACAATAAACAGTGGAGGAGGAACTGTTCATTTGTTTTCCTCCCATCCTCTTATGTTGTTTACAGTAATTGTAGGAAATAATTTTATTTAGATTTTATTTATTTACTCATTCTGTATTTTTCTTCCTACTCTTCTATTGCTAGAAACATTTAACGGAACACAAAAGAATTTATTTTCCCTACAGTTTCATTTATGGTAGATGTTTTCCATTTTACATCAATTTTAAGGAAACACCATCCATTAAGGAATAATTCAGAGTGACCAAAGTTAGATGCTCTGAACAACTCCTATAAAGACAGAGGGAGTCAGACTTTCCTACAGGCATTCATAAATGCTGACTTCAGCTCTTTATGGATCTATTTTGACAGAGGTATCTGATGATTCACAATACACATCTATGACAATTTGATAAACTCAGCATTATCATTTCAGGCATCAAACTGGGTTACAGTGGATTTTCATATTCCAAATCCGAATAGCGTAGGACCAGAAAAGCTCAAAAAAGAGCTTCTGTGTAAGTCCAGTTGTAACTTCAAACTCCATGCCTTATGACACATTAGATAATATTTCAGATTTTGCTTTATAGTCCTCACATTTAAGTACTTAATTTCCAAGGAGCCTAAGAATATTTTTAGGTGGGAAGTATTCCAGACTCACAGAAAATAAATGGTAAATAAAAAGGCACTTGCCGTTTTTGTATGTTTCTCAGTTTCATACAGAGATTACAATGAAAATTTGTCATTCTGAGATACAACACATTATATATGTGGAAATTCATAAGAATGTTTCTTCAACAAATTAATGGAATAACATAAACAGAGGTATATTATTCATGAACAGAGCCTATACAGTGATGGCAAAGAATCACAGCTACAAACATGAAGAACAGACTGCGGAACACACACAAAGCATTGTGTTTCTGGGTACCATTATTTATTACCAAAAACAAACCTAATGCTGTGTCCAAGCCACATGACAAGAGCAGATCTCGAACTGTCACCAGCAGGTGTACCAGAGCAGCATGTCTGAACAGCATGATCTCCTTCTCATCTATTTTACCTTTACAAATAGAAGACTGAGGTGTGGTTGTGGTCTGTGTAAAATTTCAGAAATCTCACTGTATACACATAATCAATTTAAAAGATCCTGGTATCTCAGGATTTTCTTTAAACACACTGAAACATAGATAACCTTAAAAGCTCAGATCTGGTGGTCTTGGCAAATGGCTTATGATGTAGTATAACTTCTCCCATGCCACCTGACCCAGAGAAAGTGGCACATAGGGAAGTGTTTTTGAGAGGTGTGCAGGGATAGATGGTGCTTACTGGAGTAGGGAATAACAGTACCCTTGGGAGTGCCATTAAAACCTCACTGTTTTATTGCTTTTAGTAAGGCAATCTAAATATACATGGAAACTGATACATTTCCCATCTTTTGGTCCATCATACAAACCCTGCTGTTCACATTACTATTTACTAGTCAGATCACTAAATTTTTCAACAGCACTGTAACTCCATCTACCCTGTTTTCCAAACATTTCAAAACTCTTTCCAAAAACCCAAATTAGTATGGACTTTTTTTCATTGTCATTTCTGTCACAGGCATAGCATTTTGCATCATGCAGGCAGGATGAAATATAGCTATTAAAAGAAAAGAAACAACAAAAGCACACAACAGCTTTTAATTTTAAAATCTAGCATGGAAAAATATTAAGTATTGTTTGCTGCAGAGGAAATATTTCTGAAGCATATGTAAAATACTTTAAAATGAAATTCAATTAGAATACTTTTTGTATTGCAATATTGAGGTTAATAAATGTAATGTTAAACAACTAGGAGATAATAGTTTGGAACTAAAAGAGGAAATCAATTACTGTAAGTCTATAAGACAAACTGTTAATAGTTTTATCATTAATTTATTCAAGAATCTTGAACCTTGTGTCACCAGTTAAATCTGTATTAAAGAACAAAAAACCCCAGAGATGGTTTTTAAGAGACGTACCTTGTTCAAAATTATCGCATACTACTTTTTCTTGCTGTTTTAAGAAAAACCTTGTATGATCAAATTTAACACTGTCAAAGCTCCAATTTACAGAAGCAAGTACACCCAGACGTGTCAAATCTTTTAGTACAGGAATGGCTGCATCTTCCAAGAGGCAGTATGTCTGGCATTGGCTTTCTGCATAGCACAAGAAACAAAACATGATAATAAAGTTTGGTTTCATAAACTACTATTGGACAAGAACAGTCCAAAGACCCAGAAAACACTAACAACACTGACTTCTTCATGAAAGCTGTAACTTTAATGGAGGAAGAGCTGCTCCCCATGGAAGTTACTGAGTGGTAGAATTAAGCTGATCTTCATGGTAGGCATCCATGCTGCTCCATGCATTTCATAGAGAACAAACTCCATGACAAAAACCTAGGATTTTTTACTCCTGTGACTCACACTAAAATTGTTCTACTATTCCATTGTTCTACAGCCTGCTTCTTCATTGCAAACATTTTCAAAATGATAATTTTTGGAGTCTTGCTTCAAAATTTATTAGAAAAATGTAATTAAAAAATAATCTTATGGCTATGATTTCCATCTCAGATGGAAACAGATGAAAATGCTTCTCTACTCTTTCACCGGTTCTGTGAAAGACATTCCCATTAAGCTTGTGCTTGGAGTAAATGCATTTTCATGGAAAACCAAACTAATCTGTACTAGGCCTGCAACTTCCTAGCACTGTATATGCTTGATTTGAGGCTCTAAGACAGCTTGGATAAATATTTTCTAGGTTATTCTCTACCATTTCTGCCACATGAGAAAATTGTTGTCAGTACATGTTTTTTGATACAATTCCTTGTACAACAGCCAGAGTTCACAGGGTAAGGCCCAGTCATGGATCAATCCATAGCACATTTTTACTGTGTTCAAGACACTTCCTATCAAAATGACTACTGATCCCCTCCATCTCCAGTTCTCATTTACTCTGTCAGAGAAAAAGTTTAAAAAAAGGTAAAGAAAAGGTAAAGAAAAGGTAAAGAAAATTGGAGAGTACTGATTGGCATCAAGAGCTTTCATGTCCCCTAATTTAGATCAGACATAACTCAAAGTCTCAGTTACTCTTTTTACTTTGCAGGGGATTGGCTTTAGCCTTAAGATGGAATTCTATAGCTTGCTCTCACACCTGTGCCAAAATAAATATCCAGCTGTCCTAGTTAGAGCAGCCGGGACCAGTTCATCACTGTATGGGTGCAACCCAAACTGTGTATCCTACACCCTCTATGTCATTTCCAGGGAACTGTTAAAAATAGACCATCTGCAGCAGCTGCCCAGAACACACCTGACCCCTCAGGCTATAGGCTGGATGTTAAGAAGCCTGTGAGATAGGAGGATGTTCCTGCCCTCACACCACTGAGTGAGGTGTGATAACTCCCCTCCGGGATTCGTTAGCACCTCCACACCCTGCCTAAGGGGTCATGTCTGCTAATGGGCCATCAAGGATTCCAAAAAGATCTCAGGATTCACAATCACCCACTGTGGAACTCCCCTTCCTGGGGGAGGTACTGGGCATTCCCACTTGAACCTGAGTGTATACAATCTTGGGGTCTTGGGACTTCAGGTACCGCTCCTCGGATCCAGAGGAGGACCAGAACCTCGACCAGACTGCGACCACCACTCTCATCAACAGGTTTTCCTTTCCTTTTACTTTGGACTCAGGGGGACCAGGTGGGCCAAAGAACACCATTCTGTTCGTGCCCCAGGGTGCTGGGTTATACATCTGGATTTTGTAGGTTAAAAGCAATTGTCTATATAATTGTATTTATTGTATTATTTTTATTAAATTGTGACTCTGACTTATAATCTCTTTTGACTTGAGTTCATTTCTCCTGCCAGTTTACCTTTAAAACAACACACACTTACTTGCAATGATTCCAGTCACAGGGAGCAGAGACTAAGCCTAATAATTTATGTGTTTGCCTAAGCAGTACTATCTAATACAAAATTATATTGCAAAGATGTATAGACGCATGGAATTGTTAGATCATCAAGTTCAACCCTTAACCCAGCACCACGATGTTCACCACTAAACCACAAACCCAAGTGTCACAGTCACACTTCATCTGAATAACTGCAGGAACGGTGATTTCACCACTTCCCTGGGCAAGCAGTTCCAACGCCTGACCACCCTTTCAATGAAGAAATTTTCCCCAAAATCCAACCTAAAGCTAATCTGGCAAAGCTTGAGGCCAATTCCTCTGGTCCTGATACTTGTTACCTGGGAGTCTCACCCCACCTTCATATGGAAAAAAAACAGTATACCTGATGCTTGAATATTGACCGTGATACCATCTTCATTCTCTTGGGTTTTTTCCTCTGTTTTTACAATTTCACAAACAGAATCATCCTCTTTGTGAACACGCATATGTTTTTCTTCAGATTGTAGCACTAAATTATTAAACCACAAGGGAATATTTAGACACAAATATCACAAAACCAGCTCAATGAATAAGAAAACTCTTCAATAAATTACTTTACATGCAAAAAATATTTTCAATTTAAATAGTATCTATGACATACACATTTTCTCCTCATGAATTCTTTACTGTTTTCATGGGCTTACACAGCATGGGAAAAACATCGAGACACAAAAGCAGATTAGGCCCTGTCTGCCTTCACAGCCCAAGAAGTCAGGATTACAGGACACTCTTCCTTAGTGTAGAAAAACAGAGCTGGGAAAAATAAGTTGCTGGTCCTACAGTTCTAGAATACAGATTCATAAGAAAGATCATATGCCATCCGTATGGAGAAAAAACACATATGAGGGGAAAGACACTACTGAGGAGGTGATACTATGAAAAATATCACAGTGAGTGGGAGTAGAAAAGATTAGATACTGTAAACCATCCAGAAGAAACATGGAAGATGTAAATGGGAAGAAAAAAAAGAGAAAGGAGAAAACAATTTTTCTATCATCTTCTACCTATCTTTTGCAACTTGTTAGTGTTTCTAAGTGGCTTTCCCCTCTTTCTGATAAATATTGATGCATGAGTTACAACTTCTGCCCACAAAGCTCCTTCTGACAGTTCTATCTCTTTATTTCCGAGAGGGGTTCTTACTGAAAAGTAATAAAAATAGTACTGAATAGTACTTACTGAAAAGTAATAAAAAAAATATTTCTGATTTTTTCCTACTTTTGAATGTCAATTTCCTCAGAAAACAAACTGACCATACAGAAACAGAAGGAAAATAAAAAATGAATTTTTATTCTAGGTAACTTAGAACAACCTTTCTGATTTTGAAAAGCTATAGGGGGTTCAAAACTGGGTCACTGAAGTGTTTCTACTACTTTCCTCCTCTATATTTTCTAAAGTAAATATTAAATATGGTTATATCTTTAAAAAATAAGCCAGTCAACAAAGAGCCCTACAAGAAGTGCTGGCATTTCTATTTTTGAGTTAGATTTAGAATGACCCTTAATAAAAGCTTTTCTTTATTACAAAAGTATGCAATAACTTACATAATTTCTACATCAATGTGGTAAGACCCACACATTTTAATGGGTTCTCTATATATCAGAAATAACATCCACACTGGGGTCGTACCTGTACATGTTCTAGTCCGCATTTAACCTACTAAACCTCCACAAGCCTATTCCTGAATATAACATAGCTTGTCTTTCAGTACATTTGGATTCCTTGTTAGGCGGTGCAGTTCTAATCATAGTTCACTAGATGGTAGCATAAAACTTCAGTTCAGGTACTTTGTTCTCCTACCATTAAAATTTGGCTTGTTGCTTTCTAAGGCCAAGAAATGTTTTATGTGTCTCTACCAGTGTCAGCAGCAGATGACTTTTACCAAGAAATAATTTCCTCCACAAGCTTTAAATTAAATAAATATCCCAACTCTATTCTGTAGGAATTATTGCTGAAAACTTCCATGTTACAATTATTTTTTATTATTATTTTTTTATGCTGGGACATGTAACTGAAACACAGATAAAAGTTCATGTTAAAATTCTACCATACAAGCCCAAAAAACCTTGAAAAATATTATTTTTAAAATACATTTTATCCTGAGAATTGAATATGGAAATATGTCTCTGCTGACTGCTATTTCATGACACAGACATTTCTCTTTAAAAACAAATAAGGAAATTCTTCCACTTCTTTTCTTTCTCTGTTGTTTTGCATTTCTGCAATGCTGAACACATATCCTGAGATTCTTTCCTAAGCCCTGTCATCAACAAGAACAGGGCTATCAACAACTCGCTGTTTTTCCTAATGCCTATTCTGCTTCATTGTTTGATGGGGTTTGCACCAAGGTAACTGGCTTAAATGAACAACTCTGGTTTATTGTCTATGTTATGTTGGTTCTACAGAAGTAAGGGTACTGATTTACTATTTGGTAACCACAAGGAATTTGATAACTATTTCTTCTCCAGAGAGGTTCAGTGATCTGATTCCGAACATACAGACAGAGGAGATCTTCAGAAGTATCATTTAGAGTTACTTTTGGAATAAACTCATATGTTTATTTTATGAAATACCACTTCCACCACCAAAAACCCAACCCATTCCAAAAACAAGCACCGCTCCAGCTAAACCAACCAACCAAAATCCTGTAAGATATCTAAAGGAAAAAAACTCAAAGGTAAGATACTTAGAAGAAAAATCAGCTTCAATTAAGACCATAAAAATGTCATCATTTACATCAAAGGATACATCTACTAGAATGAACTCGCAACTACTGTAAGTGGTTAAACAGCAAAGAAATCTGGGAAAAAAGGCAGCATAAACTGGTTCACATACCCTTTTCAGGTCTGTCTATATAATTTTTTTCCTCTGTTTGTCTCAGTGTATGTTTGGATCTCATCATGATAAAGTTGTTCAGATCAGAATCATCGTTGTCCCATTTTGTAGCCAGTGCAAGTGACCTAGGCTTTTCACTACAGCATGAGCTGTCTACTTTAGAGGATACATCTTTACAGCTGACTGATTCAGGTGGTTTGGTAGTTTTCTTTTCTTGGTTTAAGAAACAAATTGCCTCTTCTGCCTTTATTTTCCTGTTGATCCCTCCAGTAACCTCTCCCCCAGATGTATTTGTGCTGTGAATTTTGGGAGATGACGCATCACTCATAGGCAGGCCAAAGTACTGCCTTTGAGTCTGCAGTGACAAGTCAGGATTTACTACTTTGTCCAGCTGATGTCTTTCATCAGAAAGCAGCTCTTGGTTTGTCACAGAATTCTCTTCAAGCCATTCTGAAAAATAAAATTTAATTTATTCGCTGCAATACAGACTTTTTTCTTTTCTCTCTCCTGGTTGGAGTTAACGACTTAGGATGGATTATAGAAAAATAATTTTTAAAATTTCTTCTTTCTGCCTTCTCATATCATTAAAGTCCACTTTCAGAAAACTTCCACTGACTAGTCCTAAGCAATAAAGCACAATATTGAGACACAGAAGGTCATGCTATCGTTTGAAGAAGTTTTCACCATGGTCTTTACTGATATTAGATTTCTAGGAACTGGAATGGAGTACATTTCATTAGGAAGAAAAGTTATCAGACTTTTTTTTTTTTTTTGAGGGAAAAAAAGAAGTAATGAATTCAATCCATTCCCTCTAAAGATGTGCTTCAATAGAACTGTAATTTTTTGCATTGTGGGCGCACATCAATCTTCAGCACAGTAGCTAAACACTTATATGTAAAAAGCAGTTAATTGGAACTGTTCTTTCATGAGCAGTGTCTATTTGTTTCACAATATATTATGTTACTGCTAATCCTTGAGTTCTACAACCACAATTGGTACCTTGCAGTCCAGCCATACTTATATAACAAAATCCAAATAACATTTTGCATTTTTTTGTTGAAGTTTGATTACAAGTATGCAAAATGGTCCATGAGAAATTCTGAAGTTACAAGCTGTTCAAATTTGAAACCACTGTCAGCACAAAAACCCTATAGCATCACAAAATAAATAGTTTTCACTGTAACACTCACTGACTTCTGCAAACAGGACTATGTGAATATCTGCTTTATTAAAATATCCCAATGCAAAACTACTATTTGTTTAAAAATTCTCCCGTATGAACCTATTCTATTAAAAATAGTATGGTTGGTGGAGGCTACTCTTCACCTGCATGGTAATAACTTAACTTTATGTACTTAAACACTTTTGTTCCCACAATTTGTTCTAAGTTTGTGAAAGTTCACCTTAATTGCAGTAGTATTGCTACTTCATTTTGCTGTAAAACACTTTATTCTTAAAAATAAGATATACTTAATTTTCTTTGTTCTTGGAGATATGTGATTATCACTGCCTGATTCTCTGTTTAGGCACCTATCTTTGCTTTTCTATCACCTTTTTTTTTAAAAAAAGAAGGTACTTACTTTCCAGCTGATATGATGTAAATCGTGTGAATTTTTCTATTTCTGTAGGAATCAAACTGTTTGCATTACTGTCATCCATATGTAATTGCTCCAAAATTTCTGTGGCTGCTAGATTTAAACCCAGATGAAGCCACCAGCCCTTCTCTAGTGAGCTAAGCATTGGTGCTTCTATCTCAACTGGTAGCATTTCCTGCAGTTCTGTCAGTGAATGATGCTGAGGCACAAGGTTAACAGCTTGATGCTCTACGAAAACCCAGAAATAACATACAATATTAACAATCTAGAAACATGAAACAGACTGTAATTTTGTAAATAAAAGCTCCCAAGTATTGTGACCTACTATATATATATATACACACCATATATCCATTGTTTATACTTCCATTTGTAACTCGGTGCCCAGGAACAGATTTAAGAGTATAGAAGTTGACATTATCAGAGCAAGTGTACTTTTTACTTACTGAGTCTGTGAGTGAGATCAGGTGGGGTTTTAAATTTTTTTCAGATCTAATAATGTGTAGCTGCATTACTAAAGTGACAAATTATCTTGTTCATTATGTGTAGGCTAACCCATCATGCTTACAAAGGCTTAGCATAATCCTTACCTGAAAAAAAGCTATCTGAAGTACTAAGGAGCATATTGTACATTATTTTCAACTGCAAATCAATGCACAGATTAATTGGACAACATAATAAGTCAATATACATAACTTAATCCTGAGACTTGTAAAATGAAAGCAAGCAAAATGAAATGAAAGAATAATGGTAATGCACATTCTGATGCTGTCATAAATACCCTGCAGATTATTTTGGGTTTGTGTATTTTTCTTCCTAACAGAAACTCTGGTCTTGTGAATTTATAACATTATTTTCCAATAACTGTACTCTTCTATTGATTAATAATTTTTTAAAACATTATTTAAGGGAAAATAGTACAGAGGAAAGAGTTCAACAGATTAACAAATTTTTAACAAACTGTTACTATAGTTATTGTATATAATTAGCAGTAGTGAGCTGAACACTGTCATAATAAAATAAAACTCTTATTTCACTCAAACTACCTCCGCTGAAGGGTACATGACACACCGATTTCTATGTTGCCATACTGTAACTTTTTATATGCACTAAAAGAATCAGATAATCCAAACTTCAGGGGCTTACATTAATTGGATAATTTTCAATGCTCTAACAAAACATGTGCTCTGTAATATAACATTACCTTTTCTGCTGTATTTCTCTGTATACATGGAACTTGTAACATCAATTAGAAATCCTTACCGACAAGCAAAAGAGAGCTCATATTATCCCGATACTTCTCTGACTGCCATACCAAAGATTCTAAGTATTCCCTAGAGGGCCCTGTAACCAAAATACTATGGGGAACATAAAAAAAAGACTTGCAGTTATGAAGTTTAACAGCATTATCCATTGAATTTTGATTCATATTAAACTACCTTTTAAATATCTACTTTGTGTTTAAATTTTCAGTTAATTCATCCATTCTCCTGTTCATTAAAATTTTTGTTCTTATCCATATAGAGGAAACAGGAAAGAGTGAGAGGACCCATCAAGGCTGGTTCATGAACTAAAGTGGCACAGAGTGAGAATTCTGCCTAGACTGTGGTTCCCTCCCCAAGAGAATATTTAAATTCTTTGTGCATATGCCAGAAAGATAGCAAGGCAAAGAATCCTGGTCTCAAAAACAAGATGAGAAGGAAAAAATGAAGCAGTCCTAATCCTATGGCAGCATGAAAAGGCCCAAACCCCATTACTGGAGGACATCCCCAAAACACGGACAATACTTCCTTCCTGTATCTCTTCTGGAGATTTTGTAGGTGATGCTTGTGCAATGTATGTATTTTCCTTACTTATAAATGTATGCATACACACACATACACACCTGCTAAATAGATAAGTATTTACAGTTGCCTACTTCAAAAAGGAGACTGTATTTTCAGGGTATTAAATCCCCCCAGAGAAAGAGGTCTACAGAGGCCACTGTCATTTCCTTTTTCAAGCTCCCCTGGAAAGCCATAGATACAGCCTGTGCATTTGGTCACTCTTTCACACAAAACAGTCTATATGCAGGTCCAACAACATTAAGTATTGATTCATAATGAAGTTATTTTTTTAATAATTTTGAGAATTTATGATTTAGAGGATTTATGACAGGATTTGTCACTACCAAAGTTTCATTACCTGTTACCAGAGAGAGGAAGAAGTTCTTCCTGAAGTCCTCTGCACAGAAAATTAAACCATGAACTTTGTTGTCTGCATGGAGGAGTTAAAGGCACTTCCATTTCATCTTTCAAATATGGAATATATTCAGCTAGAAATTATGTAATGCCCCAGCCAAAACAAAAATAAAAAATCAAAATCACAAAGCTACTTTTGAATGAAATACACATGCTTGCACATTTTATATTGGTGAAATTTTGGATTAAACTACAAAATATTTTCATAGGACAAGTCCTGTTTCAGCTATATGCCCCAAAAACTTCACATCCAATTTCCAAACAGTTTGGGGATAACAATGTGTAGATTACATTCCTTTCATGTAATTCTGGCTGCATACTCTTCATATGTAAGATGATTTTTATAATTAAATCATCAGGTACCATGGCTGAGGTTTTCATATTAAGCATGGTTGCCTGTTGGCCTTCTTAGATGCTTCCCCATAAATGAAGTTAATTATATGGCAGAGAGACTTCAGATAATGTTATGGTGCTGTAAGATACAGACGAATGGACTCAGGAACTTCAGAAACAGTCAGGATTTTAAAGACAAAATTACTCTTTCAAGCAGAATTAGCAATTTCTAGGGATGACCATTGAACTGAACTACCACATCAGTTTTTTAAAAGCAGTATATAAACAAATGTTAAAAGTTCTCTTCAAGTCACTTTTAACTTTTTTTTTTTTTTTTTGGCAATTGTATCACATGTGGACATATTAATGGATTATTGCTTTTTATTCAAATCAAATTAGGAATTTGCAACTTCATTGATTTTGGTGTCAATTCATAAAAATTTGTGGTTTACATGATTGCCCTGGAATTCTTCTCTCTGGCAGTCTTCTAATCAGAAAGCAGAGATAACAAAAAACACACTTGTCCTACGTTCTGAGAAAACTGTCAGAAAAATTTTAAGTAAACCAGTGCCTCTGTAAGGGAAAACACTTATAACAGATTCCCTGTTAATTCTAACAGGCAGCAAGTAGATGCAATCCTCATACACACATTGTTTGGCCAGTGGGCACACAGCAGGCTATGAATCAGTCACCTGTTTAGCTGCTTACAGCTTCTCCTTGACTGACTTAGCAAGCTGATTTTATGTCAGGAAGGGTAAGGGACAATGCTAGAAAGCCAGAGAACACACACACATACCAGAGAAGCAGAAAAAAAAGGTAAGAAAGAAAAGTGGATACAAAAGAAAACAACATCTTTCCAATCAGTATAATTTCTTTCCCACTTGGAAGAGAAAAAAGCTCTGTGAACTTCAGCTCACAGACTGTTTTTTTGGGGATAAACAATTTTAGCACCTTACTTTGAACAGGATAGGAGCTGATCTCAGCACAGCGAAAATACCTGCCATATCTAAAAAGAACAATTCTTTCTCTTTCAGCAATACTATTCATATTCATATTCATTCTTGTCTACTTATTTTTGTCTTTAAGACTGGAATATTTTTGTCAGCTACAGTAGGTAAACGCTTTTTACACTCAGAGTAACACTGACGACTTAGTGAACTCTCTTGTCTCTTAGACCCTTTATCAATAAACAGTTCCTGTGGCTAGCACGAGAGAAAGGTAAACAATGAAAGGTTTACAGAAAATGCCATTATATTATGATCGCTTCTTCTCTGAGTTCAAGCAAACATATTTCACTTCTGGTAACTCACAAACAGCAAAATCAATTAGAACAAGAAGAAGACTGCCGGGTATCTCAGCTGAAATTTGACACCCAATATAGAAACTCCCATTAGCAAGCAGTGTCTTAGCAGTGCATGTGCAGGTTTGTAGGTCTCTATCCTATAAATCTGAGTCTATCCTAAATAAAAAAAAGAAGATGGAAGCTGACTGTGCCCTAACAATTGAATTTTGCCTGATTCAGTGGCAGAGCTAAGACACCAATCTGGCAGTAAAGATTAATGCAGTCACTTTCTTTAAAAAAAAAATTCAAGATGATTTGACTTCTTACATCAGCTCCAGAAGAACAGACAATATCCTAGAGTAGATCAAAGTCAACTTGTCGCTATTGCATATAGGAGGAGGGTCTCAAAATGCTCAGACCTACTACACTTAAGCTCCTCCTGTTTGTAAGCCTTAGAAGTAAAGGGCAGTCAGACAGCTCACTAGACACAGATTAGTTCATCATGCTAGGCAATAATCTCCAGATGGAAAGTAAGTTTAACTTTGTCTTGGTGGAACAACACATGGTGGATTTGCACTGAGCTTTTATACCAGACACTTTGAACAGACATGATTGCTCCAACTAAAATTTCACTACAATACAGTATCAGGAGCATGATCCTATTAGCATGCAGAGGACAACTATCAGTTCAATTTAAAGCATATTGAAACGAATACAGTAAGGGGGATCTTGATCTGGAGAAAACACAAGATTTTTCAAGGATTTTGGTAACTGCTGGATGGAAAACTATCAAATGAACATGCACCGGTGGATAATACTGCTGCCGCCTGTGGCAATAATGGATAGACTTTTTCCAAGATAGGAGAGACATTAGGACAAGAGGTACATATACATTCAAGTATTGCCACTCTGCTCAGATCACATCCATTTGTAAATGTCACTCTTTGAACTGGTTCTTCTGCACTAAACTAAAGGTGAAAAATGCCACCAGCATAGCCATTTTATTTCTGCCTCACTTCACTAGCCAAAATTTAGCAGGGAACACAGTTGGGCTGGCGAAGAATATACATTATTTTCAAAGGTTACACCTGGAACCTGAGGAAATTTTACCTAGGGTTGGATAATTAGGTTGCGCAGTCATACACCAAACCTGCCCAGCATTGGTATGCACAGTAAACACCACAACTTGAGTTTTCAACCTATTAAAGGTGGACACATACAAAGGATTTCCAAATGCCAGTGCAGGAGAATCAAGGATTCAATGCACATGTTATATTCAAATATTCAACACTTTTGGTTTATTTCTGTGGAAAACAGCTCTGCTGATTACGTGACAAAATTTCTTGATCACACATCATTACAGAACCATTTGCACAGGAGCTTTGAACCTCTAGAAGTTATTAATTCAGCACTTCTGCCTGGATTGTTCTCCATCACCCTATTTTGAAAGCATTTATATTAGACTTTAACAAACTTTATGCTGAGCTCTTCGATTCCATGAATTGATGTTAATCAATCTACCTTAAATTTCACCCTCCCTCTCTGGGTGGATAAGTTGCTAGATAAAAAAGATCCAAAAAGCCTATCAAATGCAAAATTTATAGACATCACTTGCAGCCAAAAGCAACATGAGAGAACTGTAAAATTGGTTGTGTTTAGACTATAAAGCTCTAGAAAGTATGGCACTTCTACCTCCTTATGGTGCAGGTAAAAAATAGTAGATTACACAAAGAGAATGTTCTTACCTATACAGTGCATGTCCTCCCACGAACAGAATATAGGAACAATTGTTTAAAGAATTTATTTTAAATATCACCCTTTGATTTATACAGATCTTCCTACCTGACTCACAGAATTCCAGCATACTTGTGCTGTTACTGGAGCAAACCTCTTGTGGAATAGGACAGTACTTGGAAATTTCTACTTGGTGTGCAATTTCTGCTTTGAGATCTGAAAACAGATTTTCAAAGGTGCCACAAATTAACCATTTCTTACATTTTCCTGTCAGAGCATTTTTTGCTTTCAATCTTTTTATTGAACCTCCATGATATATTGTTATGAAAAATCATAGTCATGCTTAGTAACCCCAAACGCTGCAGCTGACAAGAGCAGTGCTCAGTCTTGTCCCTTAAGTGACAGAAAACCCCCACAAGCTAGTATAATCACTACCTGAATTATTCCAAGATCTTATGACTACAGTGATTTCCAGAGCAATTAAGTAGACTAAATATAGTTTACTGGGAGTTTGTGTATGTAGATTCTTTTGCTATTAAAAAAGAATGAAAAACCCCAGTAGGCTGACATTTATGTACAAACTCCTCAAATCTCTGCAGCAGAGGTTGGGTCTTTCAGCTCAGAACATGGCATCTACTACGTGTATCAGAAGAATGCAAATCAAACTGCCTTAGCCAAATATACACTTTTAAAAGTTTAGATCCTATCATCAACAAGAAACTGGATTGTTTCAAACTGGTGCCCTATCAGACAGAATTCAGCACACACTCTCCACATTCAGAAGCATGAATCTTCCTTTGAGCTGCTTCTTGCCCACCAAAAAAGTGGAAAAAAAAATTTAATTAAAAAAAATAAATCAGGCAATGCTTTTTTCTTTTAACTACACAAAATACTGTCATACAAATCAGTCCATTAGCCAATAACTGTCATTACAGTTGTATTTATCCAACACATAAAAGCATTTAGAAACTTTTCTAAAATTTTTTTAAAGAAATAACTACTGTCATTTACAGTATTCCTGTTATCCATGGAAATGTTTAACCTTTTTGTCCTCAGAAATCTGCTTTTGTGCTTGCAATTACAGTGCAACAAAGCATTTTTTACTGTATGACTGTACTGCATATAATACTCTTAGGGATGTCTCTGAAAGTAAACTTAAAAACATATAGGAAAAATTATGACTAAATTATTATATTCATGGTAGGTTTTATACCACAAATCATGGCCCATTTACATTTGTTTCCAAGATTACAGCACAACCATGGATTGAACCAAATGGCGAATAGTTTACTACCCCTTGAGGAGACATACACTCAGAAATCTGGGTATAGCACAGTTCATAGTCTCCTCCAGAGAAATTCTCATTTGATAGGTTGTGATGTAATTCAAAAGTGAACTCAATATAAAAGAGTTACATTGTGTTAAATGTGTTCAAATGAAAGTAAAATCAGGTCAAGCATTTAAGAAAATCAACTCTCACGTTCTTTGATCACTTCTTTGCAGAGATCTTCATCAGCCATAGTGTCTGAGGCTAAATTTAACAACTCTTTCAGTTCCAAGTATGATGGAATCTTAGCAGAATCAGATCTGCCATTGCTGAGTTTGTTGAATTCTAACTCAATGGGCAACATGAAATACTGAAAAAATATTAATCACAACAGAATGGTCAGTAAAGCCCCTTTGATGTTACTGTATAGTCAAAGCTTTTTCAAAATCTTGAAATAACTTAATTCTAACCAATTTCAAAGCGTTTAGGAGAGAAATCACATGACATTTACACAGTATACACAAAGCTTTGCTCAATACAGAGTCAAATACAGTGTTATAGAATTTCAGATCGAGTCAGTGGAGTGTTAAGAGTGCATCTGAACTTTGAGTTCCCAATCAAGTAAAATCTTCATTTACTTTACTGAAAGTCTGTGTTTTAGAATTTTGAAAAATTAAGGAAAAAGCAGGTTTGACTTCTTTTTAAAAAATAAGCAAAGCTGACTTCCCAGATTCTGAAACGCCTTGGAGTTTTCCCTGTCCCATGCACATCATGCCTTCCTGTTCTGAGTAATTTGTATTCTTAGTGTAACAAGTACCCACAGTGCCAACACATCCGGAAGCAGGAGAAAAAGCTGATCAGAGTGGAGACTCCTAACAGCAGCATCCAAGAATAAAAAAAACACCAATAATACTGGTGTTTCCTAACCTTGGAAGTATGAAGGCTGAGAAAACTTTGAAAATATGAAGACAATTCAGTAAGATGACTTGCAAGTGAACAAACACCTATGCATAACACAAAACAACAACTACTATAATATATAGTATGAAACAACAGGATGATACCTCTTCCTCTTTTATAGGTATGGTACAGAAGTTCTCTTTAATCTCCTGCAATTCATTTTTACTCTCTTCCATCTTCATTTCATTTTGGAAAATCAAACATTCTCTTTAAAAGATCATAAAATAAAGTAAGTGACTTCTTTGTATTACTTCATGTCTGAGACTGAAAGTCTTAGCAATAGCTTTGATAGCCATACACATGGCAAAAAGTTATTTTTCTAAATCCATGCCTTTTCTAAGAAGGCAATTCCAAGTGATGCTATACTGACCTGTGGAATTAACCAGAAGTATTTTTATAGAAATAATACATTATATGCAGAGTAGAATCACTTAATATTGGGATCTGTCTTACAAAGTTACAGAAAAAACCGCTCATATTAAAATTGTTCAACACCCATCACGTAAGTCCTCTCACGTGAAAATGCTTTCTTCAAAAGCTGTGGACCTAAATTTCTTCCAATGTCAAATTTTTTTAATATATATAAAATCTCTGTAATCTATAACACCGACCTTATTCACTTTTGTCACCTTTAGTTTCTATTTTCAGGAATTATTCAGCACCAGTGAAGGTAGAGTGTGCTTATTATTAATCAAAATGACAACTAAAATCACGTTCCCTGGTTTAACTGAAAAACTTTAAAAATACTTAGAAGTAAAACTTGCTAATGAAGCTACTATTTGCCTTGTGAAGCAAGAATACAAGCAGAACAGGGATGAAGACTTTTCAAGGAGAAAGAAAACTTTTCATCAGGCTTGCCACTCATGGCCACTACACTAAAACTGCAATGAGTTTTTATGGGGATAACTTCCTCCTCAGTCCCTGACATCACTGTTTTCCTGAAGAAATGCTTTGGACTTGAAGTACAATTCAACAGCATAAGAGCATGGACTTACTGACAGCATGACTGAGATGACAGAAAGAAGGAACGTGGAAGCATGTATAAAATCCTAGCCCAATTAAATTTAAAGGCATTTTCCTGAGGAGGAATCGGTAAAATCAGTTTGAGGGAGGACGAGGTCCCTTAAAGATGCAGATTTTTTCAGTATTCCAAAACCAAAATCTTGAGTACACTTCACACTTACAAAATGCAAAAGTGACATAATTTCATTAATCCAGTTTTCTTAATGCATATAAATTTCATCTGATTTATTTTTTCCTAAGTAAGAAAAAAAGCTGAAGTCTTTACCTGTTGTAAATATAAACTAGTTACAAAGTTATAATTCAACAAATGCCATTACACACATTATTTTTTATATTCAATATTATACAGCAACTTGCAGGTACCTGAAAATGTTCTCTTCTGTTAAAATCTGTCCTTCAGAATCTAAAAAGGGATCTTTCACTAAAAAAAACTGTAGTCTGCTCAGAAGTACAGATAAAGTTGGTAGGTTTTTACGAAAATTTTCAAGATTATCAATAAAAGAAAATTCCTCTTCCAAATATAAATCTGATGGAAAATAAGAAAAAAGACATTATAAAACAAGATAAATGTAATAATTATCAGAATAAAGAGAACTGTCAAGCAAATTTTGGAATACTATAAGTGTCAGTAAAAAATAAGTACTTTTCGCTTTAAATATTTTAGGACTTTAAAGCTTTAAGTGCAACAAAGTCTAGACTTCCAATGGTCCACAGGATAAGCTCTGGTTTTCTTTTTCTTTTTTGTTTCCTTTTTTTTTTTTTCCTATACAATGCCTCTTAAAAAGAAAAGGTATTTCCCTTTCTTTCCTTTGTTTGCATTTTCGACAAAGACAAGTGCGAAGTTCTACACCTGGGTCTGGGCAATCTCAGGCCCACTGACAGGTTGGGTGGGGAAGTGATTGAGAGCAGCCCTGTGGAGAAAGACTTAGGGGGTGATGGTTGAAGGAAATCTCAGCCTGGGCCAGCAGTGTGCACTCGCAGCCCAGAAAGCCAACCATGTCCTGGGCTGCATCAAAAGGAGCGTGGTCAGCAGGGCAAGGCAGGTGATTCTGCTCCCCTGCTCCCCTCCTGGAGCATTGTATCCATCTCTGGGGTCCTCAGTAGAAAAAAAAGACATGAACCTGTTGGAGAAGGCCCAGAGGAGGAATACAAAAATGATCAGAGGAAAGGAACACTTCTCTTATGAGGAAAAGCTGAGAGAGTTGGGATGTTCAGCCTGGAGAAGAGAAGGCTCCAGAGACACTTCGCCGTGGCTTCTCGGTACATAAAGGGGGCCTGTAAGTAATACCGGGACAGATTTTTTGACAGATCCTATTGCAACAGAGGGAGCCCCTGGTGGTCTAGTGGTAAGGGCGCGGCGCTGTCACCGCCGAGGCCCGGATTCGATTCCCAGTCAGGGACACTCCCCGGGCAGATGGAGCTCGTTAGCCCTTAAAGGCAACCCATCTACATCCTAAGGACCTCGCTGCCACTGTCCAAGCTCGCTTGGCCCCGGCAGATGAACCTTAGGATTAAAGGGTGGGCTCAGTTCCGCGCACACCGTGTCTCACCTAAAAAATCCAATGCGCAGGCTGGAAGGTGTAAAGACCTTCCCCGGATCTTCGCTTGCGAAGACTGGCCATTATTGTAACAGAACAAGGGGTAATGGTTTTAAACTAAAAGAGAGATAATTTAGATGAGGTATTAGGAAGAAGTTTTGTACAGCGAGGGTGGTAAAACACAGGAATAAGTTGCCCAGACTGGTGGTTGATGCCCCATCCCTGTGGGTGTTGAGGGTGAGGTTGGGCAGGGCTCTGAGTGCCCTGAGCTGACCTCTGAGTGATCAAGAAGGGGGTTGGCCTAAATTGCCCTTAAAACTCCTTTCCAATCCAGGCTATTCTATGATAACAGGATTCCACAGACTTTCATTTCTTCTGAGTTTAGATACCATTCTACTGAGACAGAACGGAGACAGTAACCACATCCCTTTTTGATGCAATCCCTTACATTTACAACATAATATACACATATATTTACATACACATTTTACATATATATATAATACACATAAAATTGTAAAGTGCAGGTTTTATTCTTTCTTATTTTTCACCATCATGGAAGTCTCCTCATTCCTACATCCCCCTTTCATTCCTTGGATGACTCCCTATCTGTAATAACCTTCCCTTCCTTCCTAGTGGCTGGAAGTGACAGATAATGATTATGTTCGTCTCCTAGACTGTTCTATGCTTCTGACTTAGATTCCCATAAAGAAATCTATCAATTGAAAAATAAATGCCTCACTGTAAAATGCCTCTGTTTATTGAGATGAACAGTTCAGAAGAGGCTACTACGGCTTCTAGGAACCTATAAAGCTGAAAGTACCTCTAATTAAAAAAAAAAGACATTTTTTCTGATATGTTATAAAATCCCTAATCTATTCCTCTTCCTTTTCTTTGGGCAACCAGGAAAACAAAGTAGGAAGTACCTGAATATTCAGTCAACTAGTGGTTGCGAAATTAGGTGCTAAAATCAATGAGAAAATAAAGACTGTATCAATGACCTGAACTTGCTGTCCTCAAATACCTAATTTAATTTTTGTTAACTCAAAGAAAGCTGGACAACTCCAAATATACTAACATGAAATCAAGTCAAATAAGGCACAGCTTTGGCCTTGATTTGCATTTATTTTCCCAATTTAGCTATAGTTTTTATTCACTTTTTTATTGTAAGGAGCCATAGTACCTAAAGTATACAAAGAAAGGAGGATTTTCCCAATTAATCTAATTATCCTAATGTGATTAAAATATTTTAATTACTGTATTTCTTTGTTTATTTTAACACACTTTAACCTGTTACTCCCTATCTCAGGAAAGCATGTCTAAGCAGGTATGCACTTATATGTGTACTAAAGGGCCCTCCTGAAGTGGAACAGATACTACCACATACCTAACTGCTTTCCTAATATAGAATTTTACTACTGAAGCAACAGGTAGAGTTTGAAATTCACAAATTGCAGTGCTTGAAATTCATAGGAAACTGAGCTGAGCTGCTACTTTACGGTTCTAGGAAGAGCAGGTCCACATTTTTAAATATGCTTATTTTTCAGAATTGTGACTTGAATGCAATATCATCACTTTCTTTGATTATAATATAGTTGAATCAAACACTTTCTTAACATTAGGTTTTCTGTGGTCAGAATTTGTTATATCTGTTAGGGCGCTATTAATTGCAAAATTTCAGAAAACACACAGGGACACTCCTCAATTTGAACAATCACAGCAACAGGTTTGAAAAATCCCAGCAACAAAGTGGAAACTGCTTAATTCTCATTCTGCTTGATGTGGTCAAGGAAAATGCTTCAAGGATCTAATTTTATTGATGTATAATGGATCATTATCATTTTGTTCAATGCCTGATATGATTTACTTATTGTAACACCTTTTTGGCACCTTCTGCCATATATTTCATCAGCCTTAAAATTCTTTTGGTTTGCACCTATCTTAAACTGCTAATACAAGCCCTGCTTCTCTAGGGAATATATATGCCTTCAGTGGTCATACCCTAGGCAACCGGAAAGGTTTGCAATCACCCAGACAACTTCATCAATGCCTATGGAACCCGCACAAAAAAGATAGAACTCAACAAGCTGATTCTACCAAAAGTTAGAAAGCAGTGAATTAAACATTTTACCTTGCCATGGTTCTTTAAATTCAGTGACATGGTAAATCTTCAAATATTTTTCTTGAGTGGATTCTTCCTTAAAAACTTTATTCATAAGTAAAAGGGGTTCTTCTATGTCAGTCTGAGAGCAGGGATTTGAACTTGGAATAACTTCCATTAATTCATTTCCAATTTGGAGCTCTACAGAAGAGATAGGTCTCCTAAAAAACCAGAAAAAAATATCTAGCACTTAAGCTGTTATACAAGCAATGTCATAACTTCCCTGACTTCTCAGTGAATCAACAGCACTCATAAAGATACTCTAAGAACTCTGATAATCACTGTATTCACTGAAGAAGGTTAGAAATTACAGAGTTGCTATCACTATCCACTGGATCCATGGTCCAATTACATGTTTAATTCTTCCCCAAGAAAAAGCTCTGTAAGTTTACATCCAGAATTAAACTGAACATAAGGATAACGGCTGGAAAAGAGCACCAAACCTACCAATGTCACAGCATTTACTGCAAAAATTTAAATGTATACTTGTTGTATTGGGTCTGGCTGAGCTGGAGTTCATTTCCCCACAGTAGCCCTCACAGTGCTGTGCTTTGCAATGGTAGCTTAGAAGGGTGTTGATAACACATCAGTGTTTTGGTACTGCTGAACAGTGTTGGCACACCATCAGCACTGTCTCTTAACATTCCTTCCCCTCCCCACATCGAGGGCAATATCCTGGGAGAGGACACAACCAGGCCAGCTGACCCAAACTAACCAAAGGGATATTCCACACCCTATGAGATCAGCTCAGATATAAAAGGGAAGGAGGAGGGTGGAGGGCATTCATTATTTACAATGTTTGCTTTCTGAGCAACTGCTACATGTGCTGAAACCCTGCTTTCCCAGGAAGTGGCTGAAGATCATTCGCTGATGGAAAGTAGAGAATAAACCTTGTTACTTTCCTCTTTGCTTGTGTGAGTGCAAACTTTCACTTTGCTTTAGTAAACGGCCTGATCTCAACCTACGAGTCATTTTTCATTTTATTGTCTCTCCCCTGTCCAGCTGGGAAGTGATAGAGTGGCTTGGTGAGCACCTGGTGTTCAACCAAGGTCAACTCACCACACTTGTGTTTCAAAAACAACGAAGAAATTGCAAATAATAGCAATAGGAAAAAGACAGATAAGTGAAGAAACAAACCCACTTCAATTTCCTGTCACTTTTCATACTAACCTCAATACTACTATTATTTCTTTAGGAGAACAAATAAAACAAACCTTGTTAGACAAATAAATAGCAAAATAATTTGACTACGGAAAAGAACCAACCATCACAGTTCTGAGCTAAGTATGCATCTGGACAAAATGGTTGTAATGGTTGTAATTGATAAAAAGTTAAAATAGGTATTAATGTTGCATTATCCACTGAAATTGACTGCAACAATATATTGGCTCTGATTGATGAGTACTGACATTTCTGAAGAACCCAAATCAGCTCTACATTGATCAGCTATACACTAATCTATACTTAATGAAGTTATTATTCTCATTTCAGACAATGGGTTTCTCAACTGTGCATCCTACTGATTTATGCATATTTTTAATAATATTTTGCACTGCATTTTCCTGCTATTTGCTAGTCCTCTAAAGGTAATTCTCATATGAGTCACCTCTGAATTTCAGTATAGGCCTTTGTGTGTAGACAGCAAGAGTGAAGAATATCTGCTACACATCTTTAAAAAACCAACTATTTTACAACATTTTGACTACAGCTCAAAAGGTAATTTTGAAACAGCAGGTGGTATAGTTCACAAGCAATAACCATGCAGTACTGATGATAACTGATATCAAAACTTTCATATGGCATAAGCCTTTGAAAATCCATGAACCTGAAAACACTGCCCAGTTACACATGGGCCAACTTCACTGAAATCAGTGGATTTCACTGTAGTTTTATAGATAGAATTCACTATAGTTTTGTAGAATAGAATATACCTAAGTGAGTTGCTGATTTGAGACTACATGAGACATCTTTTCCAAAGTCAAACCCTAAGTAAGGCTGTTCTGGAAAGCAGTAAATATTTTAAATGCAAACTACTCTAAGTATGGAAACATATGTTGAAGTAATGCTTGTACAGTGTTTCGAACACAGAAAGAACTACATTACGTTTAATGTATTTAGCTTCAATTAGATCTTCACAATATGAAGCAAAACTTTCAGCAGTATCTTTGAAATATGGACAGTTGTGTTCCGTCATCAAAATAAGCATAGCTACTAAGTGCATGTAATAAAGCCACTAAGGGGGTTTTATCCAATTAAGTAATTTGGCAATTTCTAGGAATTACAGGCTGACCTCATTATCTGCTTTACTGCTAGGTGTCCTCTCACACCTGCTTAGGCAGTCAGTGTCTTCTTAACGTTTTTCTCCCCCTCAGTGCTTTTTTTCAACTTGTTTCCTGTCGTCTTCTTATTTCTCAGCCTCTCCAAGAAGACAGTAGACTCCCTGACACTTTGAACCATTTTTTTCTAATATATCAAGCCACTTCACTGACCAGTTTCATCTGTCATTCATGTTTACACTCCTGACTGGCTTACAAGACGAGATACTCAGAAAAAATCACAAATCCCAAACCACCAAGTTGACAAGCTTATTTCAAAATACCATTTCTCCTAACCTAGTTACCTGAACATTTAGACACATAGAAAAGCAAAAATTCTACATGAAGCCCCTACTTAGCAGTAAAATCTTATACCTACTGTGAAAATAGGACAAAGTCTCAAAAAATCTCAAAAGCCTCAAAATCTACTGAGCAGAATCTTAGAATAGACTGTATTGAATTGTATGATAAGCAGTCCAAAGATACTGAACTCAAATGTATTACACAGCAGCACATCTGGGACATCCTTTGATAAATTATTATGCCAAACCATAAGTAAGTGCAGAATCTTTAAACTAGATAGTTTTATTTTTTTGGTACAACTTCAGGACTGCAGTTCTCCTATGAATCACACCCAGCAGTGAACAATGTACTCCAGAAAAAATGCCTACCACTGCTTGAAATGACAACAGCAGAACATTTTAGTGCTCGTTCCCAATAATTTTTGAAAAGATTCTAACATCTTATTTTCTTTCATCTGTTGGTTTTGAGTATTAGAAAGAAATTAGTGCTATATGTGAACTTAGTTGTCACACTACTCACTCCCTGTTCCTTGCTAAGAATAAATCTATTGAAAAACATTTACTGTAGGTCACGTTTCAAATATCCAAAACAAACCACCTACTGTGTTTATTGCACACTCTTTATCTCTTTTTTTTAATGTGTTTATGTCTTGCTTTGCAAATATTTATAATGATCTGTGATGGATTATGTGTACTACTACTGCTTAGTCCTACCCCCAGAAAAACCACTATCATAAAACACATAAGAACTTACATTCTCTTTACTTATTTTAAACAAAACGCAAAGCACTTGAATAATCTGAAGCAAATACACATCCCTTCCTCCTAAGTTTAACTCCCTGCTCCTTATTTGCCTGTCTCAGTTCAAGCAATTTTTTACTGGTGCAGAGATCTAGCCCACTTTGTTTTACAATACATTAAGTGAAATGGTCTCAAATTTTCTGTAGCTGTTGCCTACCATGTGCACTGGTTTCCTTGGTTTTATTTAAATGTTATAACTGACTTAAGTGCCAAAGCAATAGGTAAAAGTAAATGTTGTTTGGTTTGATAAAATTCCTGATTCTTGGCATTTAATACTCCTTGAGATGGCATCTGACTCCTCAAGTGCTCACTGTTGATATCTAAATCACTCTGTGTCTTTATAACAACTTCTTCAGGATCTGCTTTTTCTCTTAGTACTACTAGTCTAGAAAATGTCTTGGGTGATATCTTTGCATGAGTTTTGCAGTGTCCTCCTAATATTTATCTCACTCCCTGAAGGTGCAAAGATGGTTATATTACATATAATAGTCTAATTTTTTTCTGAAGATACAGAATGTGATTTCAATTGTATTTCAGTGCACAGAATTAAACAGACATCCACATCATGTCCTGCACAGCCTTAATCTGCTCTATGAGCATGACCATTTCTGTGACATGAATGAGCAGAGGGCTATGCCCAATTAGTATACAGCAAGGAAATTAAAGATTGTCATAGTGAAATCATAGAAGAGTGCCACTGTGAGGTATTGGGAAGCCTGGCACAGGCATTTTCTGTAAATGAGTATTTAATTCTTCAGTCATAAGTTTTCCTTACAACCAGCTTTTTTATGTAGATTTGAAGATAATAGAGATTTTAGGTAGCGCTGTAAAAGCACAAATGTAATTTCTCTGTTTCTTTCATGCTGATGATTGAAAGCAGAAATACACACAATTTACTGGTTTTTGCAGAACCCTAATCTTCTTTTGAGTCTAATATATGCTGGAAAGATGTGTTGCAAATCTGTTTTTAAAATTAACTCAATTTCAGAGCTCATTTGACGCTTTTGACTTTGTACATAACATTTTAAAATAAATATATCTATATTTAATTGCTATAATATGTTTGACTTTTGATAGCTGCCTTTTACACCTTTTCAAAGATTTATAAATACCCTCCTTCGAACAGCTTCATCTACAGTTACAAGAGATAATGGTCTTAGAGAGGAGGAGGGGGCAAAACGTCCTCATGGTTTGTTTTCATGTTCATAAACAGTTTCCAGAGACTTTCTCCAATGTCATAAATAGATTATACAACCATTAAAAAAATTATATGAAGAAGCAGTGAACTCTGTAAAACACCAATACTACTTTTAGTGAAAAAGCCATCTTTAAGCTGTTTGCTGCAGCGTACAGCTCCAGCACACTGTGCACTTGCTACTGTCAGAAAACATTTCCATATTCCGTTATCATCATTAGCTTATGATTCACAAAGTATCTGAATGTTATCAAAGAAATCATATGCGTTTTTAACTAAAGGTTACTGACTTTTCCAGGAAATCCTCCACAGGTAAGCTTTTCTTCCACTGATCCAATACTGAAATAGTGACCATGTTCTGTGTTGAAGTAACTGAGACAAAAAAGAGTGAAAGAAAATCACACAGAAAATATTAAAATTCATTTTTATTTATTGATCAAACCATTGCAGAGGCTAACCAAACTTTACACAAGATGTATAGAAGAAACAACACTATTATTTTCCATTAGCAAAAGTAATGCAAATACACCAAAAGATGCAAATACTTTCATACATGTTTACCTTCGTCATTGGAAACCCTCAATTTTTTCCATATCTCATAACCTCAGCATCATTTTTGGAACCTCTCCCAACTTATCAGATTTAGTATTTCATTTATCTCTGATCATTGGTGTTCTTCCATAACCACTTCTCTGGACAGAAACTTTCCAGAAGTCTCTACAAACTAATCAAATATCACCCTCATTTATGGTCCCATACACAAATAAATATTCATTACCCACCTGTTTCTACTTAGGTGATGAGTATGTTCTGCCTTCAAGAGATATATTAACTGACATAACACCAGCTCAGGGAATTATTTTTTTTTAACCAGACTTATCATAATATGGACAAACACAAGCTTTTCCTTTAGTAAATCTAAATTAAAACTTAAGGATTATATAACCTACCTCTAGTCCATGGCTTCCTATATTTATCATCGGTGAAGAGTCCTGTGAGGTGATATTTTTCATCTTGATATAAACAGGGAGGAAAGCAAAGTGATAATCTCCAGATGGAAAACTTCTGTCTTGCTGTGCTCTGCACAAAACAAGGCATGCGACAAAATTGTGAGAGACAAGTCCACTCTTTTTGTGCACTACCTTTTCAAACATTCCCGCTGTTTTCAAGTGTTTTCTTCTAGAACATGATTTTTTATATTTAAACCTTATTACTTCTGTAATACTGACACAGTTCAGACTAAGAGAAAATATTAACATTTACCTGACTTGCTATTTAACTTTTAATCTATGCCTCTGCGTATGCAAACCTGCACATATGCTTAGCTACACTGTAACTAAACTTTGAATGTGCAATTAGAAGTGCTTATCTTAACACTTGCAATGGTCTGCTAAATGGACACATGACCAGAAACAATTTAAAATCATTCCTACTATTGCTGTTTCAAGTACTTTTAATATTCTAAAGCCTCTCATCTTTCATGTGCCCTTTAAAGTGCTTTCATTTTCACTAAAAACAGGGGGACATGGTAGTAATCAATGTAATTCTAGAATTAAATTGTTGATGTGGCAACTGCAGTAACTCTTCACTTAAGACCAAGTTCAATAAACCATCTAACAGTTCTTTTGTCACAGAAATGTGACAGTACTGCATAAATAACACAAAGCCACAGAACAATCAGTTTGTTCGGGAAGCAGAGAGAAATTATTCTTACACAGGATTTGGTATTTAACGAGTGTATAGCTTAGAAAGAAGTTGTTCTCAAAAACTCTGGGGTGTAAAATGCACACTGGAAAAGGCAACTAGCTACAGACACGTGGGAGAACATAATGAGTGACTCTAGAAACTTCTCTGTAGTTCTAAGTACATTGCCTCACTGCAGCTGTGCTGCTTCAGTCCTAGAAATGTCCACCCATCTCGGCATATGCTGTCAAGCCAATTACAGTTTGCAGTGTTAGACATCCCAGAAGACAAAACAGAAATATTTCACTGACTTGGACTGCACCCAGAACTACCATGCTACTGGTGTACTTTTCAAAACTTCCTGTATAAGCAGAAAGTTGGGGGCGGTGGGGGAGATGTGGGAAGCAATGAGAACAAATACTGTCACTTCACCAGTACAAATCCTTTTTCCATTTCAGTTTAATCTTCTGTGGCATAGTTACAATCATGTAAATTCTAGTAAATTTTACCAAAAAATGTAAAAACTATCTTTTCCTTAGAACACCCTTGTAAAAAACCAGATCCAATCCAATGCGGTCCCCTCTGCATAAGTTAAAGTGTGGCATTTTCTCAGTGATCTCTTTTACAAATTCTGAAGAAAGAAGACAGAGTCAGACAACTACAGGTAGTTGGACTTAGGTCTTCTACATGTTACTGGCCGTACATAAGTTTAAGTAATTGGTATTGAAGTTGCTTCTGAAATAGCTGCATTTATCAGGAAATAAAGTGAATTTTCTGATAGAGATCACAGGAACAGAAAGAGCTGATGATAACCTTCTCTTGATTAAAGCAAACTGTCAGAATTCTGATGTAAGAGCTCTTAAAGTACTCTTAGGTTAAAGGAAAATGACATCGTACTGTAGAAATAGAAGCTACTGAACAAAAAATACAAACAATAATACAACAGAGATTAGAAGGGAATTTTAAATACCAGTATGTAGTTTTGCTGCTGTGAAGTGGAACAAATACACCCTAGGACCATAATCACAGGTAACAGCCTTAAATCAGGAAAATTGTGCATTTTACCAAAAAAAAAAAAAAAATTAAATTGTTCTAAATGTAAAGGTTAAGATTAAGTGATTAATTTTATAATGTCTGATAACACACAACCTTTCTTGCCTGTCTCAAATATATAAAAGTGTTTTTCAAGGCCATTATTAATGGTTATGGTATTTAATGAATGCATGTTTATCCCTGTTTGTCGCAGAAATGCTAAGGTCTCCAAAAATTTCTGTTCTAATTGTAAGTTAATTTTTAATATGCATTTTTATAGTTCCATGCAGCTTGCATGTATTGCTAGTTTATAACATTAGAAAAACTTGAACTTTTAAGATGACTTTGTGATCACACCTCTTGCATCTCTAATGACTGAAAAGGTTCCTCTCTTCAAAGATACACTTTTAAAGAGCAGCTGGAAAAGCTATATCTGGAATTGATATAAATGTGTAACAAATACACTAAGAGCAGGATTCCACATCCAGTTGAGCCAGATGTGTGCAGGAATCAGTTTGATATAAGTTCACTGAATTCCAGGATTTCCTATGAATTGGAAGCTTCAGTCAACTGCATTTGATACAGGAAAAATCAATGTAACTTCCTCTACAGGGTAGGCACAAGAGTGGAACAAGAAGCTGTGGTTTGAGCATGGCATGTCCCTTGCACAGCCAGATCTGTAACACTTTTAAATGTGTGATCACATCCATTAACCCCTCCTGGTAGCATTACAGAGCAAGATTTACTCTGTTCCAGAGCAGCCAGCCCAAAGGTCACTCATCATTTCCCTTCCAACAGTTTTCATTTGTCCTGCTGTCAGCACTGTCCTCCTCCTCAAAACTCAAAACTCAAAACTCAAGAAAAGCCATGTAGTTCTTCTCTTTTGCATGCAGACTGCAGCAAGTTGTGCTAATATATCTATTTTCTATTTGTAGAAATTATGGAAGCATCAGGAGATCAAACTGAATGGAACTACTGCGAGAAGGTTTCCACACAAACACTGAACGATAGACTGCATACGGTTGGAATTACAACAGAAAAAGTTCTGGTTTCTACAGTCTAAGAAAACAGTAGGCACACACACAGGTATGATATGGAACAATCCCTTTACTCTAAGGAAAGGGTTGTGGGCAATGGTTCATCACATGGATCCCAGTTTAACTGCAAGTACTATTGCTAGACCACTTCCCAAGCTGCAAATCTCCATCTGTGTGCCAGGAGTGCTTGTGTGTGTCCTTGTGCTCTCCCTATACTCTTAAAGACATCATGTCTTGCTACCTTACACACGAGAAATAACCCCTTCTCAGCAAAGCACCACTCTGGGAGAGAAATCTTTTATTTGGCCTGTAGCTTTTCTTTGAAAACATAAATAGCAAAAAGTAAAAACCCAGTTACAACCATGTGCCTCCGGGATAAGCAATTGGCAACATCACAGATGGAGACAGGAAATAAAGCAAGACTTCACAAGGTTTCTATATCTTAACTGATCAAAACATGTAAAGCCAAAATATTCATTGTAGGTGTGAAAAGACATCTGTTTTCCATGAATTTAAGCTAAAACATTACAAAAACTCTTCCCTACAATTGTTAGGAAATACAGGATTGTGTATCACCATCCCAGTACACACTAAAGTAGATAGAATATTGGATTAGTTCTCAGGAAAGTAATTAATTTGATTTAATGCATTAGAAGCATAGTATTCTCCAAAGAAAGCTGTAAGCAGAAAACTTATAAGTGCATTGTAAGTAAACTTGCAACAGACACTAAAAATAGTGGATGCTTGTCAGTTTTGGCAAAACTGCACTTAAATTTTTTATTAAAAAAATCCCTGTAATCACTTCACTGTTGTCCCAGCAAGTGCAGTACAACAATCACTCTGGAAGAGAATTCCTAAGAAAGTAGTTCTTAGTATCTTTTCTAATGGGCATTCAATCTTTTCTTTAGTTACTGCTATATTTCATTCTGACTAATAAGGGAAATAATAAAATTATACCTCATATAAGTAGTCTGTTGAGTGATACTGTAAAGCTGCAAACATCTTGTTTTGTGATGTTTTCAACCCTCCAATTGTCTGGAATATATACAGAATATGAATTAGTTAAAGACCTTTTATATCCTCTAAAAATGTTGAAAAAGAAGGTTGAAATTCAGGTTCAACAAGAATAGGTTTGTAATTTCTAGCATATGCACCTTGGACTGCATTTCCCATAAAGAAGGCTACCCAAAGTATTCAGTGTTCTTCCTTTGGAAGGATGTAACAGAGCAATGACAGACCATGCACACTTGATTTCTATCTGAAGGAACTGGGCTTTTGGGTTTTATTTTAGTTATGCCTCTAGCTGTTTATCCCACAGAAAAAGCCTTTTAAGTCATTAAGCGAATGTAAGTAATACAAATTACCTCCCTTAAGCAATAAGTTTGAGAAATTATCTGATTCAATGAATTTTTATGGATTATAAATTAGCTTTTAAAGACAGTAGTTCGACTACCTCCTAAACTATTGACTTTTCACTGGCTCATGTATTTTTGAAGTGACTTCCCCCCTCGCCCCCGCCTTCGGTTTTACAAGAGTAAAGGAGATTACAGGTATAGACTATAGGATTATAGACTAACTGGGAGCACAGCGCCCTGCTAGAACACCAGGTCTCTTAAATTAGCTGATGCTTCCAGTGGGAACCAGAAATGAAACAAAAACTATACGAGGACAGCGATACTGTGTGAGTGCAAAACAGACTATGTCACAGCTCAGGTGTGCACAAGGTTAGAGAATATTTGTTCTTAATCAAAATAAGGTACAAGAGTCAAAGCTTAAGTAAAATAATTCTATCAAAAATGCATATGATGTACATGAAATGTGTCCAACCTAAATTGTAGGGCCATAAGGCAAACTTGTGACAGAAGGCTCTCTTCATATATGTATCAGTAAGTATCAGTAACACAACAAGAGCCTAAAATTGCCTATGTAAAAAATTTGGAAATACCAAATTCAGGTATGGCTGTAACTGGAACCAGTGGAGGAAAAAATAATTAGGGTCTAGTTGCTTACTTGAGAGGAGTCTGGGCAGAGAAAGGAAGAATAGGAGAGGTAAAAAGGTAGGTTCAGGAAAAAAAAAAAAAAAAAGGAACAGGGAATAAGGTACAAAATAAGAGAAGAACAAAGTAGAGGGGAACCTTCTGATGGAAGGAGTGCGGATAGTTAGAAACAATGGATTAAGACCATGGAATGCTAAAGAAAACCCTTTGCACAACCTGTTGGACCCTCCATCCGTTGTACATCCAACAGACGGTGTGGAAGAATGGAGCAAGAAGGGATGGGTTTTCAAGGAGGGAATGGATTGGTAGCCTAACACTGAGTGCTGAAGGGCAGGGAATAGAACTGCAATTTAATAGCATTTATGTGTATCACTGACAAAAATTTTCTCATAGCAACATAACCGTGCATTCATGCAATATAGTAGCTATAGAATAGCAGCTACTACTCCCAGGGAAATAATGTCAATTAATATAGCTAAAAGTAGTGAACTGCTCAGCAGTCACTTCAGGTACTGCTACTTTCTGAATGGTGTGTCAATCACTCAACATCAAAACCACCTCAGTCGGGTGTGTTCCAAATTTCTAATTCAAAACTCAAAGACTGTGGCCTAGAAATACTAGTCTGTGGGGACACAAGGATTAAGGCAAGACGAGTCCGCAGAAGGATATGACCCGGTTTCATTCTCCGAGAACTCGAGGGAACACCGCTCTCAGTGAAATATGCAGTATGAGGTACTTCTGCCGAATTCTAAATTCTAAAAACATTCTACCAAATGTTTTTAAATCAGAGGCAGCACGGACGGAAAGCAGCGCGCCATCTGTCACCCACCTCACCTCCCCTTCAGCCCCTGCCGCCCTCACGGCCGCCCCTCCCCTCAGCGCCGCCGCGCCCCCGCCCCGCCCGCTAGGGACCGCGAGCGCGCCCCTCCCATTGGCTGCCGCCCGGAGCTGGCCTCTATGATTGGCTGCCGCCCCTCCCGCCCTGAGCGCCCCAGCCACCTTTCCCGCCTTCGCTTGGTTCGGGAGCGGCTCGTCCCAGACCGCTGCGTGTGAGCAGAGGAATCGCTTGGAGTTAGCTGTTAGGAAAACTTCCCCGATCTTCAAGGCTGAACACATTTTTTAAAGCAGTAAATGCATAAGCAAATGCGGCAAAGTAACTACATTCCAACCTCTGTTCCCCCGGTAGCTGCGTGCAAGGGAAAGGAGGCGAAAGAGGAAGAAAGGAATGGGGTTGGCTTTTAAAGTGGTTGTGTCGGAAACTGCTGACCCTCTGCCTGCTACCTGGAGAACAGAAACGGAACGAGGCCACAATTTAGCATCCAGGTATGTTTCTTCTTCACATGCTCGGCAAATGTGTGAAATATCAGTGTCTGCAAAAAGCTATCAGCTTAGGTAAAAGGGCCATTTAGTTACTTAGTTTTAAACGGCTGCCTAAATTTCTCCCACAACCCTCAAGCTGCTGTCTGTTGAACAAATTGTTGTATTTTTCCAGAAGGCACTCTAGCGTCAGATTTCTGCTTTGTCCAGACTCTGGCTAATCCCTGGTCTGGCAGAAATTCCAAGAGTAGTTGTGAGAATGCTCCATTCCCCCACCTCCATCCCACACCACCCGACTGTACACAGAGGCTAGCTGTAACTAGGCTCCAGACGTGGTTCTGCTTGCTGAGATGGCACCTTATTGCTGTGATTGGCACCACAAAGCCATTATATTTTCTGTCCTCCTTTTACTGTAGATGTGGATACCCACAGAGTACGCGTTAGAAGTGCAGAAACCTTTTGCAGTGCTGCGTTCAGCCAGTTGCTGTAATAGTTTTGGGAATCTGGAAAAAAGTGGCTCCTCCAAGAACTCCTTTCAGGTTGAGTTCCAGATTAGGATAGTTTTTTTCTGTGGAAAACAAAATTGACATTTTTCACTCTGGTTCCAATAACTCCAGAAGTATTTGTACATCCCAGTGAGTGAAAAAGTTAAGTAAAAAGCGTACAACAGATGCTGCCTTTACCACCACAAAATACTATGTATTATAGTATATATGTTATTGTATATTAAAAATATAATATATTATGTATTGTAGTATATGTTACAATATATATTCTATATTATATAAATATTTATATATATTATTGTATATTATGCATATTGAAGAGGTTATTATAGCACAGAAATGCCCCCAGTAACAAAGCCTTTTCTGGAAAATGTTAAAAGTACCTTAATTACACATCTACTGCAAGAAACAATGCAGCAAAACATACTGTGATTAAAGGAAGAGAAGTATCCTAGACAAATTATATCTCTAGTTTTTCTTCATCACATCCAGGGGTTAAGGGGGCACACATCCTGCAGAAGAAATTTGGCAGCAATTCATAGTTACCTCCATGATGTGATTCTCCTCAGATACACCTGTAAAACTACAACTTCTAAAAAGTTGTGTTGGAGTTGTTTGTACGACTGAGAAAAAGTGCTAAGTAGAATTATATACAAGGTATATTAGTGGTGTTAAAATTAAGGTCATAAAGGGAAGAAGGCCTTCCATCACACTACTGAACACAGGCAAAGCCTGCCTCCATGCAAGATTGCAGAGGGAGAGGTGTACGTGAAATCAAAGTGGTTGCTTTGGGATTCACCAGGCAAGAACATGTTTTCCTCAAGACTACAATGCTGCATTTTAGTTGGATTTCTTGTGAGTGAAGCTGAAAATGCTGTGGATGGGAATAACATGAATGCCAATTAGTACCATGAGGATAAGGAATGCAGGGAAGAGATGAGATGAATTTTGGCAGCTGCACATGTTTCTCATCCTCATCTTTTACAGTTGGGCTGCTTTTTAGATCAGAAATGATGGTGAAATATTTGATGTTAGCCCTGACCAGTGCTATGGAATGCTGTGCTCTTTTCTCAACTGTCAGAATGAATCACTGAAATCCAGAAAGAGTTTTTGAGAATATATTGGAGGGTTGAGCACAAGATTACTATGAATACAGTCATAATCTTGACTATATCTCATTGTTCTCTAGAAAATAGTCTATTGTGAGCTGGATCACAGCTGATCCAGTTCAGCTAAGCTGTGTCCAAGTGGCACCAACTTGTGTTAATTGAGAATTTGGTTTCTTTTTTTTTTTCTCCTCATTTCATTTTGTGTTAATCATAGAAATCAGAACTGAAGCTTCAGCAGCAGCAGTGTAGTGTAGAGCCTGGCAGAGCTGACCGTGTTGTCCCTGTCAATCCCAGGACTGTGCTGAGGGTGCAACCCCACCTGGGACAGAAACCTCACTGGGTGGTGCCATCGCTGTTGAAGGAACTGCAGGTGGACCCAACAGAGCATCCCTTTTTTTTGTGCTGCTTGCATGTACCAGCAGCAGAGTCCTCTCCAACTTACCATGGCAAACGGGCTTTAATCCACCTGCTTTTTCCTTCTTGCTCCCATCCTGGCACTGCCCTAGCCCAGAAAGCTCAGCTGAGCTGCTGCAGAGGATAAGGAGACAAACTCACAGCTGAGATTTACACAGGTGAACTAAAACAGCTGCCAGGAACACCCAAAGCCTCCTGACAAGTGGAATACAAGTACAGCTACTTGCTAACAGCAGCACACATGAAGCCTTTGCACCATGCTCTTTTCACCTTCTCTAGCTTCAGCTTATACCAGGAGTCCACCTGATCCCTGTCCCTCTCCAGCTGCTCCTCCTTGGCTCTCAGTTCATGGCCCCACAGCTTCAGCTCTGCCTGCTCCTAGGACGTGAATGGGGGAAACCAGTGCAGTACCTGCTCTGTTCTGAACACTGTCTCACTTATGGCTTCCCAAGTCATGAAGGAGATCTGTTCCTGCTGAACTTCTCATGTTGGCCACTGTGGTGCAGGGCAACACCGCCAGGTACTTGAGCAGTGGCCTCATCCATTCACCCTTGTGTCGAGCCAGGGCTGCCAGACCTGCGATTGTACAGACATGCACACGCACACTCCTTCCCTGTAAAGGATGGAGCCCCTTACCATGTTGCACACCATAAAACATGCTCAAAGCATAGCATTTTGTCAGCAGTGGAGAAACTCAGCCCGAATGGTTATTTTCCACCTGGTAAAAAGGCAGCTCTGCTGCACTCTCTGTGCCACATATTCCCTCTGAGCAGCCCCAGGGCTGGAGCAGAACTGACTCTGGACATGCCCCCGTGGCACAGAGAGGTTTTGCTTAGCCCACCTTGGGTCTTGCCCCTCACTAGAGTTACAAGGGAGGCATCTGTGCCTGCTATGGCTGCCCAAACTCCTCACTGGCAGAGGACAGAGATGGCTGATGCTTCAGTCAACACCTAAGACAGGCTGGTGGAGGCTGTTCCTGGAACAGCTTGGTTCTCACCACCCACAGTGACACCTCTGTCTTAAATACCTGAAGGCAGTGCTGAATGTCTCCCCTAGGCCCAGCACCCACCCCTGAGCCTGGCAGTTGGCACTGGAGGCCATGGGAAGGGACTCTGCTGTGGTGCCTTGGCCAGTCTCGTAATTCTGGAGTCCATCTGCCGAGATTGCTCCACCTCATGTCCCAGCTGCTCCTCCAGCAGCTGCTCTCTGGTGTGAAATTCAGCCCATTCAGCCACCAGCTTCCCTTGCTCCTCTGGGAACGGAGATATTTTCTTTCTTTCAAGTACTTTAGTGAATTTGCATCAGAAAATAAAGTAATTATACATCTTTTGTGTTAACTCTATGAAAAATGGAATAAAACAGTACATGTTACTCAGTGTAGTGTAGACATGAAGGGTAGAGTAAAGCATTGCAGTGACTGATCTAATCTATCCTGATCAGGTAACTGTGTTTGAAATAAACTAAATCATGTTGAGTCATGGAAGTGGCCATCCCTAACCTATGTTATATGAACAAGCCAAGAACATAAGAAATAACAGATCCTTACAGGTAGGAAAAAGTGAATAATGTATATGTATATCTGACCAGCCTTCACCAATGGATACAGGAACAAGATTCCAACATAAAAAATGGCAGAGATGAGAAATACTGTACTTAAAAAGCCAAACAAAATGAAAAATGGAATCAATTGGGACAAGACTGACAGGAGAAGAGGGGTAAAGCAAAGCATTAAAGGAGAACATCTTTGAAACACTCTTCCCAAGTAATGTCACTTGATCTCTTACTCTCCTAACACTTCAATATTTTTTTTGAATTTTGTTTAGGATTTTTTTAAAGAAAGGCTGATTTTCATTGTCCCATTTTTTCCCAGATTATTTTCAACTAAATGCAATCAGAACATGGTGCTCGATACATTTTTTTTCAATGAAAAAATTTATGGGTATGTTTACTAAAGTAAATAGCTTCAGATGGTCTTGCTCGGATTCTTCATTTTGATTTGGCTTATTTTGTTTGAAAATGGTAGGTGATGCCTTTTAAAATGTTTGACTCAATTTTTTTTTTGTTGTCTCAGTGTCTGAGTGTAAACTGAAATTCAGTGTATTATAAAAACCGTATTATAAAAACCTTTTTTCTTATGCAAAACTGTATTTGTCAACATGTTTAGATAACAGAGTTATTTGTGAATTGAAGCAATTGTTTCTAGTTACTAATTCCTTCAACATACCTGAACTGGCAATATTCATATTTAATTTAAATAATAACTTGTGAGAAAAAGGAATCCCTGATATTTGAACTCCTTGATTTTGTAAGAATTTCTCACTTCTCTGTGGTAGCTGAAGAAACTGGGAAAAAATCTTTTAGTATCTGCCACAGAGGCTCCTCATAGCAAGAACCATCCACGCATTTCACTGCATTTCATTGACAATGTTTACCAAATAACATACACCCATTCACAGGTTCTATCTTGACAGAAAGCATGTACCTGTTTATGTATTAACATGAATATGTTTTAATGTGAATTATGTATTAGCATGAAAGCATGTATTAATACATTATTGTATTAATATTGAATTTGGATATTAATGTAGGTTGCCATCACAATACATTACATCTTAATTAAATGGGGTTTTGCTGAAAGAAAATACATTAGATAAAATCTACATTCAAAAAACCTAATTAATTCTACTTATGTTGCTAGCCACTTAAATGGCTGAACAGGCCATACAAGAGTACCAGTCTTTATTTTGCAAATATGAATCTAATCATGTGCATTTATTAATTCAACCATAGTTGTAATGTGCTCAACATTATACCACATTATTTGATAGCCCATAATTTTTATGAGAAAAAAAGGGGACTTTTTGTTAATTTCTCATATTTACCCCAACTGTCATTCAAAATCTGAATGATTTTTTTTGAAGATAAATTCTTTACAAACCAAGCCTACAAATACAGGATATGGGTGAGAATACTGGAAATTAAAAGTTAAGACCCTTTTACTGCATCACCATGATTTGTGAATCCCATTTATTTAAATACTTTTTACAGTCATTAATTTACATCCAACCAGCTGGAGTTAAAAGTAATGGTGAGGAAAAAGCTATCAGAGGATAAACGTGATTCTTAAAGAACTTGTCTGACTGACCCTCAAGATTTTTAGAAGAAAGAAAGTCACACTGTCTTCCTTCTGCAATTAAATCCTGTGTCTTAAGTAATCTGTTACTGGTATGAATCATGTTTAGCTGATAATGGCTATCACTGTCTGAAATAGCATGAAATAGGGAAAATTGTGACTCTCAGCTCTTTAGCTCAGCATGCAAAAACATTCCTACCCAGCTAAGGATCTGAAGACTTTTCAGTGATCTACTTTTGAAATTAGCTTCACTGGAAAGACATCTCAGTCCAGTTACATCAGCTATATAATGCACCTCTAAAATTGATGTTTCAATATGAAGGAATACTAAATTCATCCCACAAGTCATCATATTCTCTATTTTATAATCTATTATGTTTTGTTAAATTGGTTTTGTTTTGCAACACATCTCAGAGCTACAGTAATATATCAGTGTTTACTTTTTAAATTGAAAAACTTAATGAAAGAGGGAAATACGAAAATTTCACTTTCAAACAAGACAGCTGAAAACTGCGAAGAAAAGCAGAAATATTTAAGATATCTGATTGTAAATAATGGCTGTACCACCTCAAATGAGAGCAAATACCAAGTAGATTTTTTTTTTCACTTGTGAATTAATGAGAGAAGCAATAAAACTTTGTAGTGACTTCCATTTCTGAAAAAAGGTAACTAGAAAATATAACTGGTAAGTCTAGAAATGGTAAAGAGAGGAAAAAAAAAGAATTCATGAACCAGGGCACATGGCTAATATCTAGCTAGAGTGCATGAGAAAACAAGGAAACGTGTGGTCACATTCATTCATCAACATCATTTGCAGAAAATACACGTCCAAGAAATGCAAATCCTTCAGTGGTTTTGGAAGAGGTTTTGTGAAAGGCTTCTGGACTTAACTGAGCTCCACTAGGGGCTGTCATTGTCATACATCTAGGTGAACAGCTCCCTCTTGCAAGAGCAAAGTGTAGGCAGAAAAATGCCACGGACTGAAAAAGAAGGGCTTCAGATCTTCAGGTATCTTCAATCAAGGGATCTTTGTATCAGCCTAAAGAAACAGCACTCTGTCAGAAAAATCTCAAAAGGGGAATTAGCTTTAGTGATAGTCCCTGAAATAAAAGTGCAATGCTTTCATGGAATTTTGATGTATTTTCTTTGCTGTTTGATTTACTTGCTTCTAAAGGGGAAAAAAAATAAATGGAAGTTTGTGACAACTAAATAATTATGCTGCCACAGGAATTCTGTGAAATTAAAATATTGGTGTGAAAAATACTTCTGTCACGAGTGTCTCAACTAAGCCCTGAAAGAAGTTCAAGTAATTGCATAATAGCATTCTAGTATTAAGAATTATTTTTGAAACACATTTTTGAAATACATTTGCAAACCTCTTCTTATATTAAACACAGCAGGCATCAGACTGACAGTAGAAGGTGACTGCAGGGGCCATTTGCATGGTGGAGAAAACCCATTTAAAAGTCACCCTATGAAGACGTGCCAGCCCCAGACAACCTTGGAGACACAAAATCTTTAGCAACATGAGAGAAAAGTTTTTACTCCGTTACATCTTTGAGCTTAGAGTTTTATTAGTGTTCATTTTATAAATGGGTCTAGGACATTCCGTGGTGTGTTAATGTAGTATTATACTATGCCACAGGTATGCTAGCTTTAGAAATTTGGTGAAAGCAAACATCTCCATTTTAACAAGCTGAGACTAGCATTTGAGCGTGGTTTCAGTAAAAAGTACAAGGCCAAATAGCTGGATTTGTTTCAGTGTTTCTCTGTGAAATCATAGGGGAGGGTCAGATTAAACTTTTAGAAATTGCAGATAACAGTGCTTATTAAGGAAATGTTTCAGTTTGTTGACTAGTCTATCTAATGAAACACTAAACAAGACATCATCAACAGCTTCAGCCTTGCCTCTTCCAAGGTTCAATAATGACCTTATAAAATGAACCTCTCTCTGCCTAAGACTAATTTCTATTTAACAGGCTTTTAATGCATCTCTTGTCTTTTGAGGTGTCTTACCTGTGATACATATTTTTATGCCCTGCCTTCACTGTGCTTTTTTCCATCCAAGCCTATTTAACTTTCCTGCTATATACATACAGTACTTAGTGAGTGTATTACCAATTTTAATCTTAGAGCTGAGGGGCAATTCTCAAGTGTATATTCTTACCATAAAGACATATGTGTGAAAATATTGATTGTTTGGCTGTTTCCTCATAATGGCCCATGGGCCACTGCTTTCTCTTTAATCTATGGTGCAGTTTTTTAATGTGACAGCTTGCAAGGATACTATAAACATTAGGAAAAAAACAGCATTGCATAGTAACATGCATGTAGCCTTAGAAAGAGCTTAGCTTTAATTTACATGCTTTTTTTTTTCTTGGGCTCCACAGCTACCCAAAATCAGAGAATCCTACACTGGAAATGTTGCAGAAACCACACATCTAAGGTAAGTAATATGGGCATTGCCAACCCTGTTGTCATAAATTTTGTGGAGGTTCTTATCTTTTATGTTTAAGAGAGGATTTTCACCATGGCACTCCTCTTCTGACCATCCTGATCAAAACTACAGACAACAGTGGGAGAAGAAACTCAACTCAGCAGTTTACAAGGACTCAATACAATACTATCTTAAGTGAACAAATTTAGTTTTAAGAGCTGAAAGTCTTGTAGTCATATCCCAGACAAAATATCTGTTGCCATAAAACTTTCTTTGTAATTGCTCACCACCATCACAAACTCCTTGTGTGTTATGATATGCTGTGACTAATACTGCAGATCTTTTTGCTGATCTTCCACTTCTGTCCACTTTGGAGTTCAAAACAAATTTCAGTCAGTCAGAATCTTACCTGGGCTTAAACATTCATTGCAATGGCATTTCTTTCAATTTGCATTTCTTAGTTCATGCATCACAGACACAGAAAATTCTGGCGCAGTAAGGGGTAGTCGTAACTATGATACTTTCATTCTAGTGTTTGAAGCATACTAACACCTTGTATCTTTTCAGTGAATTAAAAAAAGAGGCAGTGTAGTTGTTGTTGCTGTGTTTTCTACCAACTTCTTACTTCAGTATATATGATTTGATAAGATGTTTTAAACTCTTTAGGCAGGAATGTGATGACAAAAGATTAGCATTCTTCTGAGTTGAAAAAAGTAATCTTTCTGTCATAACTGTATAGATAAGGAAAAAAAAAGAACACAGCAGACCTTTATATTTGTTTGCCTGGGACAACTGCAGCAATATTTGATGAATTAAACAATTTCATGGACACTTAATTATGGTGACTTGTGTCTAAATCTGAACAACAACAAGCCCTTTCTACACTCTACAGGTAGGAAGGTTATCAAATTCTGGACCTTTCAGTGGTCATCATGTGTTTTTAATAACAAATACATTGTTTAGTTCCATCTATTTAGAGTCAGGCTCCCTGTATAGTCCTTTATATTTCAGTTCCTGGGGGAGTGCTCAGTGTCTTTTATTGCTCAGACTTGGGGGGTGGGGGAGGTATTACTCTTCCCTTTAACTAAGAAATCTGTCTCCTAAATCAGATATATAAAAAGTGTGAAGTTAGATTACTCCCAGAAGTCCTGGATTGCATCTCTGGCCTAGAAATGCCATTATGCCATTCTGCAGAGAGCATCTGCCTTTATAATAGAGTTCAACATCCACATCTCCCTCATTGTGTTGAGTTGCTGTTGTTGTGCTGCTGTTCCTGTCTATACTGTCTTCAAAGCAACTTCTGAAATTCTGCCAGGAACTCTTAGGCTACAGTTCACATAAAGGCATGAATCTGAAATACTGTCCTCCATTAAAATAGCAAAATACTTTAGGTAGACAACCTCCTTTCTACCTGAAAGGAGGTCGCAGAAAGGTGGGGGTCAGCCTCTTCTCCCAGGTAACAAGGGACAGGACAAGAGGAAAAGGCCTCAAGCTGTGCCAGGGGAGGTTCAGGCTGGACATTAGGAAGAATTTCTTCATTGTAGGGGTGGTCAGGTATTGGAAGAGACTGCCCAGGGGCTTCAGTCAATAATGAAAAAAAACCTCAGAATTAAATTGGTCTTTTCTTCTGCCAAAGGAATCAGCAGCCCCCTGTGATCATTAGGATGCAGGGCCTTGAACAAAAACCCATAGCAGGGGAGTCTGAAAAAGTGAGAAATTGCCAGGAAAAATCCTTTGTATAATGGGGTAAATGTCCCAGTCTGTACTACAGTGGCCAGTGAGCAGAGAGTGACATAATGATCTCAGGAGGAATAACAACTGGTTATGAATTCCTGTTTTATGGGTTAAGTGTTCACTGAACAATTCCAGAATGATAAGGTGTTGATAGCTTCTTGGGCATTATAATCAAAAACAAAGGCAGTTGTTTTTGCAAGGCCATGTCCTGATACATCAGATAGCACTTTAATGGGTATTTGGAGTGCAATTCAGAAACTGTCTTGTCTGGTATAGGGAAGGGCCCTTTAAGAATAGGCCATAAAAGATACCATTTTTATGGAGCTAGAGTAAGTACAGTGCTGCAATTAAATATTTCAAGGCTTTGCAGTGGTAGTGCTGGCTCCAGTGGTGGCTCCAAGGAGAGCTCAGTTCTTCAAACAAAAGCTTTGACATAATGATCAAGCTCAGAACTTAACTGAATTTAGCAGAAGTCAAGATGTCTGCCTTAAGGACTGTGCTGATGCTGTTTCTGCTGCACTTTCTGAACTATCCCTCCAACAGCTGGTGGTGAAAGGCAGAATTGTGGTCAGAAAGCCTCACGTAGATCAATAATGATAGACTATTTCTCTTCCTGTCACTTTTCCCCTTTCACCTTTCATTAGTTGTTTCCACACCAACAGGTATTATCTGTTTACTCCCTTGGCAGAAGCAACGAGTATTGACAGCTGCTTGAGGAGATGTGAGAGCAGAGTATCTATCTGGAGATAGATACAGTGGTTTAATATAAGAAGCTAAATTTTATATTTCAAGTCTCCAGGCATTTTTACCCTGTTTCTTCAGACTTTAGTTAGTCATCTGTTTGGTTTCATGTTCCACACCTATTGGAGCACAGAGGGAGGCTTTGTTCTGAACTGACATCGAAATACCATTAAAGATTACCTATTGAAAAGCCACGCTCTACTGTTTACAGAAGTGTAACATCCCTGAAACTGTAAATGTTGTTGAGTAAAATATTTTCCAAACTGTGGTCTTCAGTAAATATTTGTAAACACCAATGCATTCTCTTTATGATGGTCTGCGAGATCTAATGAAAAAGGTTTGATTTTTTTTTGATGTGGGAAAAAAAATGATCACACAAAAAATGGCTAGGTAGGTACTTCATAGTAAGGATAGATTGATTTAAGGAAAAGGTCCAGCTTTTCTGACATGTACATTACTGCTGGTAGCCACAAACTTTTATTAACACAGAGTGTCTAATGTACTCTGGGGACTGGCAATTAGTTGCCCAAGAGACAAAGATAAAATAAAAAACATGCAACGTGCTTTGCATTATCTGTTAAGTGCTGTCTTCTCACTTCTGACGCCAGTTCTTACTACTAGATCCAAGACTGACTTTGAGAAATTATTTCAACATTAAATACTTTCAGGATCATGGATCAAAAGTGTCATAATTGTTGCAAAATGTTATTAAGTCAGGTTTCTGCTTGTGACTATATTTGAGCAAGTTATTTGGTATAGTGAGACCTTCCCAAGGTATTTAATGTTCTGTGCCAGAATTCTCTCTTTCTATCTTGGCTGCAGTGCATAAGGCCATATTTTTTAATACTGCAGAAATTAATTAAAATGATGATGCCTGGCTTCCTGCTGAAACATTACATTTAATGTTAACAGCTAGAGTTATGGAAAAGAGGGAAAGTGAGTTGGTGCAAATTCATAGGGTTATCAATTTAGTTGGAAGAACTTATATGGAGAATCTGTCCCAATAGTCTGTAATTACTCTGTTCTTATGGAAAAGGTGGAAGAAATACAGCTTTGAAAACTGTAGCAGTAGCAAAAATTTCACATGGCAACAGCTGAAAGAGACAATGGGAATCTTGACAAGAATGAGTGTGGCATTCTGCAGTGAAATCACAATCTTCCTGATGTACCCATCGACAGGGGTAGGTTATGAAGTATGTCATGTGTCCCCAGTACTACTGGACTGTGCTTGCAGTGACATGTAGCATTTGCTTCTGTTACACAGGGATATTCAATCCCTGCTATGTATGTCATCTGAGCTTTTGTACTGGGGTGTCACCAATTTGAGATGAATTTCTACACAGATATGGTTCAAGTGCTGTCATGATGTCCTCTTGTTTACTCTCCTTCAGTTCTGTGTCAGTAGCACTGTTTAAGCCTATTTACTAACCTGGAGACACCTGTACTGTCATTTGAGTAGTCATTTTTGGGGTCACTTTTCAGCTGACAGAAAGTTAGCAGGAGAGAGCAGTTTCAGTTAGCATGCTCCAGCTGTAATGTCTGCTAAGACTTTTAACTCCTGTCCTGGGCCTGCTTAGTCCACAATGACTCACACTACCACATTTTTTTTTTTTTTCCAAGAAGGTCTGAACAGTCAAGCCCATAAAGGAATAAATTTAAAAATCAAACATCCTTTCCTTAAACTTGAGAACAGAAAAGTACCAAACCTTGAAACCTTGCCAAGTAATCCCATTCAGTAATCCCATTCTGACATCCACTTCCTGGCATCTATCCATATCATTTGCCATGTTTAGTTTCCCTGCAATGCCACACAGCAATGTTAAATTATAAAATTAGTAAGTTGTTTGAATAAGAAAGCTTCTTGCAGTGCATGATTGGGAATGTACAGGCGTAAGAATGACAGAGTCACGCAAGAAGTACATTGCATAACACAGGTGATATTACACATCCAGAGCCTAATTGCATGTTCTATCAGTACTGCAGGGAGGACAGGGACAGAGTGACAGGACTCTATGACATGTTGTCTTTGGCAATGTTGATATGTCATGTCATGCTCTTAGTATCTCACTCATGGGATCTGTCAGAAGTTTCGAGACTGTCATAATTCCTGCGTAACAAATGTGACACTGGTTGTAGCTTTTGCACGGCATTGGAAAATTAAGGAAAGTTTTCATGACGTGTGCTGTGCCTAAGAAGAAGTACAGCTGAAGTTTCAGTCCAGTTAGCTCTCCCTGTCATTTGCTGAGCAGAGTGACAAGAACAGATAATTACTATTGGAGGGAACTCTTCAATAGTAAATTCATAAAAATCAAATTTCTATACAGATAAGAAAACCTAACTGCTTAATTTGTATTTTCATAAATTAAGCAGAGAGAAGCAAGGTAAAACACCATGTAGGGATATTTCTTATATGTTCATGCCCCTTATGAATTTATTTAATATGAATTAAAGAAGAAAGAACAGGTCTTTGGCAGTGGAAGAACAGGTCCTTCAGTGGAAAAGGTAAAAACTTCAGGCTATGTTCAGTAAGCTGC